CAGACTTTTTATATCCACTATGTATATATATATATGTATATATATATAATATATATATATATATATCATGTAAATGCAAATGTTTCTGTACCCATTGTTATCTGTTATTATTTTCCTCATGTAATTCTTTGCAAATGACAGATGGCTATGGTTGCATGTCTCTGTGTAAACACTTTCTGTCTCCCATTTCCTGAGCAAAGCCTGCCTTCAGGGTCTGCTCTCAGTGGGAACAATGGAAGCCGATGAGACGCCAATGCACCTGCCTTCCCTATTCATTGTATGGGGACAGCTGTAGTCTTTATCTATATTGTGAAAATAGAAAAAGGTAAACCTACAACAATCCAGTCCTAAATGGCAGAGAAGTAGATTGTAGCTGGTAGAAGCTGATCCTGCAGCCATTGTCTTCACTGGTGTTTTAACTTTGTAAGATTTCATCTTAGACACAGTCTTTTAAATAAACAGAATTTGGTGTATTTTGAAACCCAACTATAAAGCCGGCCATAGATGGACCAAATTTCGGCCAGTTCAGCAGGGACCTGCTGAGATTTCTGTTCAGCTGTGGGCAGGCTGGTTGTACTGAAGTCCATCCATTGATCAACTTCAGTAAAACCAGCCTGTCTGATTTTTTGCATACAGTTACTGCCAGAGAAAATCAAGCTGATTAGGGAATCAATCGTTTTTTTATTTATTTTTTAATGCAACCCATAGTTGCGGGAAAGAAAATTGCATAATCTTTGGCTTGCCTTACTTCTTCAGGTGTGTAAGAGGGAACCCTTAGTCTCTAATTTATTTTTTTGTTATATAGGGCCACCAGAGGCCCTATACAGGGCTAAATAGGGTAGAAAAATATTTCCGGTTTCCATGAGCCGCTCCCTCACTGGCTGGATGAGTGTGAGGTCACTCTCTTACTAGTGACTTCCATTCTGCTTTGTTTCTGTTAGCGAAGAAGTGGAGCCTTGTCCATCTGGCCAGGAAGGGAGCAACACATGGAAGCAGGTCATTATCTTCTCTGCAGTTTTTAGTAATTCTGATATGATCCTGAATGATAGCTGCATAAGGCTGATTCCACGCATGCAACTGTTATGTCACCAGAACACTGACATGGGAGACATGAAACGGCATTTTCAATTAGAGAGAGACATATTTAAAGCACAACTCCAGCCAAGAACATCAAGATAGACATTAATAGCCCATTTAAAGATAAAATAATAAACCAGATTTTGTTGCAATATTCATCCTTACTCCAAAGATTTTCCCCACATTACTTTTGTTCTTCCACTAGATGTCTTCAGTGTGATGGCAAACATAATTTAAGCCACTTTCTCTGAGCCCAGTTTCTGAATCCCCTAGCCAGTGACTGAACAGTGAATAGAAAAGCAACACAGTGTTTGTGTCAACTCTCTGTCACCCTTTTTTTCTCTTCCTATGCTTCTTGTCTGCACATGAAATGATTGGCTCCTTGTACTGCTTCTTCCTATCACACTCTATACAGAGGCTGCAAGAGTCTGTTACCAGGCAGAAATTGTGTTTAAGTTTTAGATCTTAATAAATACAGTTGTGTTCAAAATAATAGCAGTCAGACATCACTAACCTGATCAATCACTGTTTTTGGTAGAAATGATATTTCTACATGGCAAATAACTTACTAGCAGGTGTAGTAGAGTAATAGAAATCCAACAGACCCAACAGTCATGACATGCATGCTGCTGATTCTGTGTAATTGATTCACTAATTGAAATGGGCTTGTTCAAAATAATAGCAGTGTGGAGTTCTATTAGTGAGGTCATTCATTCTTTGAAAAACAGGTGGCAATTATTGCCCTTATTTAAGGAAGGAAGGCAGCAAATGTTGTACATGCTGGTTACAGTGCATTTCTCTCTGAAATTCTGAGGAAAATGGGTCATTCCAGACATTGTTCAGAAGAACAGCGTACCTTTATTAAAAAGTTGATTGGAGAGGGGAAAACATATAAAGAAGTGCAGAAAATGATAGGCTGCTCAGCTAAAATGATCGCAAATGCTTTAAAATGGCAACCAAAACCTGAAAGACGTGGAAGAAAGCGAAAAACTACCATTCAAATGGATAGAAGAATAGCCAAAATGGCGCGGACTCAGCCAACAATCAGCTCCAGGAAGATCAAAGGTCTAAAGTTACCTGTGAGTACTGTTACAATTAGAAGATTCCTATGTGAAGCCAAGCTATCTGCAAGAAGCCCCCGCAAAGTCCCACTTTTAAAAAAAAGACATGTGCTGAAGAGGTTACAATTTGCCAAAGAGCACATTGACTGGCCTAAAGAGAAATGGCGCAACATTTTGTGGACTGATGAAAGTAAGATTGTTCTTTTTGGGTCTAGTGGCCAGAAACAGTTTGTCAGACGACCCCCAAACACTGAATTCAAGCCACAGTACACTGTGAAGACAGTGAAGCATGGTTGCACAAGCATCATGATATGGGGATGTTTCTTATACTACGGTGTTGGGCCTATTTATCACATACCAGGGATCATGGATCAGTTTTAATACTTTAAGAGGTCATGCTGCCTTATGCTGAAGAGGAAATGCCCTTGAAATGGGTGTTCCAACAAGACAACGACCCAAAACACACCAGTAAACGTGCAACATTTTGGTTCCAGACCAACAAGATTGACGTTATGGAGTGGCCAGCCCAATCCCCAGATCTTAATCCAATAGAAAACTTGTGGGATGACATCAAAAATGCAGTTTCTGAGGCAAAACCAAGAAATAGAGAAGAACTGTGGAATGTAGTCCAATCATCCTGGGCTGGAATACCTGTTCACAGGTGCCAGAGGTTGGTTGACTCCATGCAACACAGATGTACAGCAGTTCTCAGAAACAGTGCTTATACAACTAAATATTAATTAAGTGATTCAAAGGAAAGCAAAATCTTCAAACATTTTTCAGTTTATATAGTGAATGTTTGAGTTTGTAAAGAAGAATACAAACACTGCTATTTTTTTGAACAGTCTAATATTCACTTTTCTTCAATTTTTTTAGAGGAACAACACAAATTGTATATATTTTTCTTCATGTTTTGATTTGGAATAGAATGTGTAGTGTTCCCAATGCATTTGTGTGTATGGAAATAAAAGCTATTAGAATGATTTTGAGCTTTAGTCACTTTTTTCAACACACTGCTATTATTTTGAACACAACTGTATATACTATAATACAAGATCAATACATTTTCTGGAATTATTGGTCTTAAAGTATCCTGCATCTTTTCAAACACTCTATCACTACACTGTAAATGACACAGCAAGGGCTGGATTTAGCCTGATCTGATATGTGGGTGCAGTAACAAATTCAGGGGGCATAATCTTAACATTGTATGTGAGTTACTAACAGTCATTCATACAGTGTGACAGAGATGCAGGGAACTAGTATCCCCTGTTCACTTCTGTATATCTGGTGTCCCTACCAGAGTACTCCTTTACATCAGAGCCCCACCAGAGTGACCTTTTACATCAGTGTCCCCATCACAGTGCCCCCTTACATGGATTATTCCCTTTATAGTTCCCTATTATATCAGTTCTCCTCATCTGTGTGGCCCCTTACTTGAACTGTGTGCATCAAAGTGCCCCATCAATTACCCCCATCAGAGTGCCACTTTACATCAACTGTCCTCATCAGAGTGCCCTCTTACATCAGATGTCCCCATCAGAATGCCCTCTTATATCAAATGTCCCCATCAGAGTGCCCTCTTATATCAAATGTCCCCATCAGAATGCCCCCTTATATCAAATGTCCCCATTAGAGTGCCCCCTTACAAAACCCCCCCCCCCCCCCCCCCCTTACCCCCCCATCAGACTGGCTCATGGTTCAGTGGATGTACTCTGAGAGACATCAGGGGACACAACTAAAATCTGGACGGCACCTCGCTAGGTCCGGCCCTTTTCACAGCTATGAAAAATATATTTAATGTTTATTACATAAAACATGTTCGGTGTTTAAAATTCAGGCTAAACCAGACCAGCAAAAAAGTACGGTAAATATTATCTAACAACTTAAAGTACTGTATTTTGGAGTCAACTTCTTTGGTCCTCTGCCTTAGGCACAGGCTCACAAGTGTCTTACAGCACATAACATTCTGAATATACAATAATATAAGTACATAAATCCAGTTATAGTACGGAAATGTGATTGCTGAATAAAAGAAAGAGATTTTCTATCGCTCATCTGTATACCGTGTGTACCAATCCAAGAAATTAGGTCAACAGGGAATAAAAGCAACTCAGATAGTTGTATCAGGTCATAAAATGTGATAGCTAGAAAGTATATTTTCTTTTGTCAACTGTTTAGCACAGTTGTGAGCATAGGTATTGTATTGTTGTCATTATTAACTATTGGTAGAAAGAAGTCTAGATTGTTTTATTGCAATTTCTAAGTATTGAGAGCCTAGATATTACAACTCTACACAGAAAATATAATTTCTCTAACTTCCAAATCTATACAATTTATCACACATGCCGTTCTTGCCTCTCCACTGCTATTCAGATTATTCTGTTCTACTTTACATTGTTAAATATGTCATGAACTTGCAATCCTTGTATAAATGATGATGTTATGGTTCCACCTTGTGGATATATTTGTGTATAGCATTTTTAATAGTAAAGTATTGAATTCCTTCATACAAAGATGGCTCCTTCTTATCCTAACAGCATGCTATATAGGTATTGGGCACCAAGCATGGGTGTCTGCCCCTACTTAATCTAAGTCATTTTAAACAATTCCTACAACCAAAAAATAATTCTTTTAGAAAGCCTGTTACCATGTGCTTTGGTTTGTAACCAGTTCTAATATGGGTCAAGCCAGATTGAGTGTCATGTTACTTTAATGGTTTACGCTTTATACAAATTCAGGATCTTGGCCTGTTTCACAAACTGACAAAACTTTCTGTTGGCTAGGCATGCATTCTTTGCAAACACTTCTCTTATCATGTTAGACATGAACCTAATTAGTTACAAACGTTTTACTTTTCAGAACTGGACAGTGCAGAAGAACTGGAGAAAAAGAGAATATGCAGAATTGTTACAAAGGATTTCCCTCAATACTTTGCTGTTGTGTCTCGGATAAAGCAAGAAAGTAACCAGATTGGACCAGAAGGTGGAGTTCTGAAGAGCACAACAGTCCCACGTGTTCAGGCATCCTTCCCAGAGGGGGCTTTGACTAAAAGAATTCGAGTAGGCCTTCAGGTAAATTGAAAATGTGTATGCAGTTTTGTGCATCATTTACCTATAATTTTGAAGAAGAAATATTTTCTACAGGCCTAGGATGTGGAGGAACTACAGAGAGTTTTGTAGTAGCATTGGAAAGTATATTTTGGTGGATGAGTTATGTAAAGGTTCATTGGAACCTTAAATGATTTTTACATTTTTTACAGGCATACTTACAGTGCATTCCCATGAGATTTCCATATTTTAGGATCCCAGAATAATGCTAAAACTAAGAATATGTCTTATAGCCAGTAGGGTTGAAGACCACGGTTGTAGACTTAAAGTGGTACTAAACCCAGGACCCTGCATTCACTATATTTGGTCTCCCACGGTACACAGAACATGGAAATGCAACTGGTTAATCTTGTAGGAAGAGTTTTCATTTTACTCTAACTGTCCTGTGAGACTGCATAACCCCTGACCCTCTGTTTGGACAGTGCTGATTGGCCCTGTGTTGATGACAGGCACCCTGCCAAAGAAAAAAAAAAAAAAACTCTCTAGCAATGCACGCTAAGCTGAGCATGTGCAGAGTGACTCTTAGAGCTCTGTACTATTAGCAGAAGGATTGGGGACAGTCAAAGAAGGGGAAGATCAGAGAACACAGTATCAGACAGATCAGACAGCCTTTTTACATAATGCAGAGTATTAATCCCTTAGGTTCCACTGTGGGTATAACAAGCAAGCTTTAATGTATATACAGACTGATTTGACTGTTTTAGGTTTAGTAACAATTTAAGATTAGCATAGTGCATCACAATTAACTTCACAGACCTAAGATTGTAGACTTAGCTTTATGACAATAGAAGATAAATACTTTGGATTTATTCTCTGTGTTGCATTGTAACGTAATGTTGATATTTGAATATACTGCTACATTAGTATGCAGGATATGTTTTTTTCTTCTTGGCCACATATAATGGGTTCAGCTACCGAATACATTCCATAACACTTAGAACAAATGACATTTGAGTTGATGGAAAAATCTGAAACAATAGCTGTTTTATTGTTGAGTCATTAGATAATACTAGGTAGCTACAATTAATAGAATTATGTTCTATAGAGCTCATTAATTATTCAAAACATTATTACATCACAGGCACAGCCGGTACCCGATGAACTTGTCAAGAAAGTGATTGGAAACAAAGCAACATTCAGCCCCATTGTCACAGTTGAACCCAGAAGACGAAAATTCCACAAGCCAATAACCATGACAATTCCGGTGCCACCACCATCTGGTGAAGGTGTAAGCAATGGCTATAAAGGAGACACCACCCCAAGTTTGAGGCTACTGTGCAGTATTACGGGTGGGTTTTTAAAATCTCCATCATTTTACAAACAAATTCAAGGACACTGAACACTTCTGTTCTCAAACATCCATTATTTAGAGCTGAGATTTCAGTCACCACTTTTATCGACCTCCTAGAAGTTGGAATCTAAGTGTTCTCAGTTGATAGGTGTACAGGCACATGAATTCTTTTTGTTTTTAAAGCATGTTCTATAGAGCTCCAATTTTGATGGCTGGTAAGCACACCCAATTGAAACATCAGCATCCTTCATAAAGCTGAGTGTATGGGCAAAGACATAGGGGTTTACTAAAGGCAAATAGGCTGTTCACTTTGCAAGAGAATTTCACCTTAGCTTAGTGAATGAGGTAAGGTTCTCCTGACTTTCACTATCTAGTCACGTGCAAGCAAGAACACTGGGTTTGATTTACTAAAACTGGAGAGTGCAAAATCTGGTGCAGCTCTGCATAGAAACCAACCAGTTTCCATTTTTTTTTCGTCAGGGCTTAATTGAACAAGCTGAAGTTAGAAGCTGATTAGTTTTAGTAACTTATCCCCAATGTGTTTTATTCTTGTACACAATTGGGTATTTTTTGTAAAGTGATTTTTCATCACATTTTCTAAGCTAAGGGAAAATTCTCTTGCAAAGTGAACAGCCTATTTGCACTTAAATCAGCTCCATAATGTTGCATGGTGTCTAGTCATATCTTAGATAACCTTTTTGCATAACAGATTCTCATGCTTTTAAATTTGACAAATTTTGGACAATCCTTTAGTTAAAAATTATTCTAAGAGTAAAAATCATGTGAGGTGACATGAAACGAAAGTGGATTTGAGGTCTAAAATGAAATAATGTATCTTTTCATGGGAGGGACTCATACCATAGCCAATAATTCACTGTTTTGTACACAAATGGATTGGCTGGACAGATTAAGGGAAGAAAGCTTTCTGACCTCGATCTCCCAAGATACATCTCCACAGTGAAGGTAGCTTGTGCCCAAGAAGTGCTGGAGATCCATTTCTTTCATATTTATCTTCAAAATGTAAGTTTTTTAAAACACCTTTATCAGGATCACTAGTGAAGCTATGCAATCTACACAGAGAGGCCATTTTTAGTGAAAATAACTTTTATCATGATTGTTTGCAATGCAGTTTATACTATGCCTCCAATGATAATTATGTGCATTCACTCTGGTTGTCTTCTACAGGTGGGACATCTCCAGCTCAGTGGGAGGATATTACAGGGACTACGCCTTTAACCTTTGTCAATGACTGCGTCTCTTTTACAACCAATGTATCTGCCAGGTAAGTTGTATACTGTACATTAGGTGGCATTTACAGAAATTGAAGCATAAAATATGGATTGCCTATAATAAGATTTATTTTATATCTTGTGCTGAAACAGTGACAGATTCGGTTTGGTATATTGTAATTTCCTCCAGTTTGTAAGTCAGTTTGTGGTGTTAGCTTGATTTCCTCTGTAAATACCAGTTATAGGATACCTGTACAGTTAGCGTATTTTCTTTTAGGTAACAAACACATACAAACACGCACGCATGCACACACGCACACACACACCCCCTTCTTCAATGTCTTATACTCATCTATCCTACCTTCTTAGAGATTTGTGAAGTGTGGTTAGCTGGAAGCCACAAGGCCACCCCTGGTGAATTTCCCTGGGCAGGCTGACTTTTGCAGGGGTGGCTGTGTGCCTCTGCACAGCACTGATCTCCAAGGAGTGAGGAAAAATGATAACTGTTCCAAAAATGCAAGTTTTTCTTCATTAAATTTAAATGTAAAGTCATTATAAATAATATAGGTGTGAGAGATGATTCATGCTTTGCCAGGTGTAGACACTAGCCTGGATCCCTTATCCATCTTTTGTGGCAGTGTGAAAAATTGAGAAGGTATTGGGCTGAAGTAGTAGGAAGTCTTAATGATCTCCTAGAGCTCAACCTATCAGTTGACCCACTCATCTGCTTGCTAGGATATATTGATTCATCCTCAATTGACCAAAATTTAGTGCTTAGCATTTCCTAAGTGTTAATCAAAGCTTGTTGACTAATTGTGCTTAAGTGGATTTCGCCTCGACTGCCCTCTCTTTCTGAATGGATAATGGATCTGAACAAATTTATTTCTTATGAAAAGCACTCTTACTACCTTAGGAATTCTGTGCGGATATTTTCAATACAGACCTGGTGGATAGAGCTTATGTGCCCTACTCTTCTCTAAGTCTCCAAGTGCCTTTATCGGTCTTCTTGCACTTGGCAATGTCTAGGCAACTGTTATATCTAATGTAACTGGAAATTTTTGGTGGACATTATTTGTTTATTTTGTCATTGTGATGGATGCTTCTTTTTTCTTTTTGTTTAATGTCTGTTCTGCCCTGTGAAGTGTGCTGTTTCTATGTTCTTCACTATATAACAAAAATTCTTTCAAAATAAATCTAAAAAAAAAAAAAAAGTCAGTGCAAAATGTTTCTTGTATTAATCTTCTTGTATTCATTTAATACATTCAAGCTGGACTCTGGTCAAACAGCAAAATAGACCTTGGGGGAGATTTACTAAAACTGAATAGTCTAAAATCTGATGCAGCTCTGCATAGAAACCAATCAGCTTCAAGGTTTTATTATCAAAGCTTAAATGAGTGCACCAGTTTTATTAAATAATCCCCCCCCTTCTTGTATATATATGCTTACTGTTTTATCTGCAGTTTTTTTCAGGCATTCTTGTAATTCGCACACCTCCACCACGTTGCACAGCCATAAAGTAACACATCTATTTCCTCTTTCAGCAGTACCACTGCGTATGTCACTTCTTTGCCTCCAGCCAGCTTGCTACACATTGAATTATATATCAGCTGTGTCCTAAGATCAGGGAAAGACAAAAATCTGTAAAGGTTATGTCACACAAGCAATCCTGTCGCTGGCAGCAACTTGCAAGCCACAGGATCACTAAGAGAGCTTTTTTTTACAAATAGCTCCATCGATGCTCCATTACTAGTGAGCTAAATTGTGCGGAACAACACCAGCTAGGGTAAGTGGCTGGTGCACCTAATCTAGCGTTGGAGACAAATTGTACAGAAGTGCCACTGTGCCACCAGCCTACGGAACAACCAGGGTGAACTTCTTGCTATGCATTGTGACAGAGATGTGTGGATTACAAGATTATCTAGTGAGAATTGCATGTAATTATGCAGATAAAGCGCTCTCTCTTTGAAAAGTAAAAACAAAAAGGATTTACATGTTTGGTTGTTTTTTATATCATCTTGACTTGTGGGCAGACCTTTTGTGTGTTCATGGGTCCAAGGTCCTCCACAAACAAATGTGTAAAGCCATAAAGCCAACTTGCCTGCAGCAGTATCAAGCTTACTGGCCTTCATCAGTTATAGATATGGTATCTGACAAAGGCATGAGGGCCATTTATATAATGAATATTATGGCATACTGGTTTACTAGTAAAGAAAGATTTTTTTGTTCTTGTTGAATGTAAATGTTGAATATATCTTTGTGGTTTTTTTTTTTCCTGTAGATTTTGGCTTGGTGACTGCCATCAAATCCCCGAAACTGTAAGCCTAGCAACGCAGCTTTACAGGGAGTTAATATGTGTTCCTTATATGGCCAAGTTTGTTGTTTTTGCTAAAATGAATGATCCTGTAGAAGCCCGCCTGCGCTGCTTCTGTATGACTGATGACAAAGTGGACAAAACACTGGAACAGCAGGAAAACTTTGAAGAAGTTGCTAGGAGTAAAGACATTGAGGTACATTCTCAGATCTCCATGGTTAGATGGTTAACTGTATGATCTGATTTAGTCAAAAAGTGTTTCAGACTTTGGTAAATCAATACAAGTGCTTGGGTTGCATTAAGGAGAGAGTAACTGAGCTAGATTGATTTCCCCACCTTATCACTATTCATAATGTATGTATATAATACCCTCTCCCGCCATCTTGGGCACAGACTTGTACTTTTGCTTTTTTACAGTTTTTGTAGGAAAGATTGTTTATCAACTGCAACAAAGTGAAACTTTGTGATTATTTTCTTTTCGGGAAAAACCCATTGTTATTTTTCTACATCCTTACCCTTTCAAGATGCAGGCATTCTGGCCTTTAGAATTTATGGAAAAATGAACAGTGTGTGAAAAAAATGTCATGCTTTTTTGGTGTTTTCTCATCCACATAGGTTCTAGAAGGAAAAACAATCCATGTCGACTGCTACGGAAATCTAGCGCCACTAACTAAAGGAGGACAACAACTTATATTTAATTTCTATGCTTTCAAAGAAAATAGACTACCGTTTTCTGTAAAGGTGAAGCAAATCTACCTTGTATTTCACTGCTTTAGTGTATACCTTATAGTTGCTTACTGTTTACAGCAGAACTCATTCTGCTCAAGTTCTAAGAAACTGCTTAACTTGCAGTGGTCAGCTTAAGTGGACATTTCTTTTGCTTCAAAGGGAATATATAGTATATTTTTATTGAAATCATATTTTGAGTTATTATTGCATTTAAGTCAATATAATGTAACTTTCACATTTGTAGGAGCTTGGTTTTCCATATCTCTGTCATAGCAACTAGAATAAGCAAAACTTTGTTGCAATGGTTGAGATATCTGCCAGACAGGTAGTACATTGCACTCAATGAGTTGGCTGACCAATAAACTTGCATTTTGAGCAGGGCCCCTAAAGCACGGCCATTGTAAAGCACTGCAAGGGAGGAGGCAGAGCAACCTGAATATGTGTCAATTAAACAAGACTGACCCCAAGAATATATATATACTGTGTGTATATATATATATATATATATATAAAAGCACAATGTTTTTACACATTGATAATTGTATTCCATCAAACAATATACAATGTGTATATCTAAAAAGGATCATTACGGATACTATAAATTTCCTTACACTTTTCCTAATTCCTTTGGCGTCAATAAACAATGCACAAGTGTGCAACAAGACTAGCTTTCACCATAGGCTACTTTTATTGTGTCATTTCCGAATAGGGCAGGACACTGTGACTCAGAAACCTGTATGCTGTATTTTTTTTTTATAATAGACAAATATGCATGTTAATACATGTTCATTTCACAGGTATTCCCCACACGTACCTCATAAATAAATCTGAAGTGATAAAACGGGGAACAATTTTCCTCCCATCCTTTAATCTTACACCCTAGGCATTTTTAGAATGCCACACCTTTTTTTTTTAGATTTTATAAATTATTTGTACACATTGCTAAATAGACTAGTTTCATACTTAAAATGAACTTTTTATTTGCCAATTAGTGCAAGCTGAACAGTCTGTTTAGCTAACCCCTCTTACCCATCAGCATTTGCTCACCACTCTTGCTCCCTTGCTGATCCATTTAGTTGCTGGAATTTGGGAAAGAAAGCCTAATGCTCCAAATGGACTTATCAGAGTTCACACAGAGCTATGTACTCCTGCTGGACCCCATCCTTTAAAGGACAACTTTGCCTGTGCTGAAGTTGCCATGTAAATAATTCCTCACACAGTAACATACTTATCTTCAGCCCTGATTCAAGAGTGTTTGTTGTGGCCCTGGCCAACACTGCACAGCCTTGGCAAAGAAAACCTCCATTGGTTCCTCTTTACACTGCACATGCGCACAGTGGCCTATTTATTCCTATGGGAAAGCTGTATTCATTGTGACCTCCAGCAGTCCTATGGAGTACGATTATTATGTTGGAATAAATAGGGTTGTGATGTGCATACACAGTGTGAACAGGAGGCAGCTGGAGGATTTCTTTGTGAAGCCTGTGAAGCCCCAAACAGACATGCAGTGAACATTTGTGGATTGGGGTTGAAGTTAATAAGTTACCAAGTGAGCCACATTCAAGGGTATGGGGGAAACTAATTATATGCCAATTTCACTAAAGGTGAAGTTATCCGTATTAATAACAGGATTGTGAAAATTTAATTTTTTTCAATATGATAGCACCTATGGGGGTTTTCCAAGATAAACTAAAATTGTACCGAAAGTAGAGAGGGGTCTGTGTAGCAACGAAGAATACCCTCTCTTACCCCAATAGCTCTGTGTATGTTCTGTTACATCTTATAGATCAGACCTGTAAACAAAATTAAGTTGTAGCTGGTCTAGAATCTCAGATTTATCTTTAAGGAAAGTAGAAACTTGCCTACCTATCTATCTTTTACTATTGTAGGTACGTCCTATGGCTTGCATATTCCTTCTGTCATAATATTACACACATCTATTTTCACAGATAGCAGAAAAGATGGCTTGCTTTTCTTTTGCTTACTATAAATGAAATAGTTATAATGCTTTTAAATTGTTTGAATCAATTGAACCCTTTCATTTGATATTTCTTCATTTCAAACTCCATTTGCAGGTGAGAGACCCCAGCCAAGAACCTTGTGGTCGCTTGTCCTTTTTGAAAGAGCCAAAGACAACAAAAGGCCTGCCACAGACTGCTGTCTGCAACCTCAACATCACTCTTCCAACACAGAAGAAGGTAACCAAGCATTTTTTAAGTAACTCTTTAGAATAATACTTTGTGCTTCAGTCCTAATGCTGGACATGCTTGGGCAGACTGTAAACAGTTTCTACCCAGAGGGGGTAGGAGTAACTTACTCCCCTTGTATAAATTGTGGCAGTGCAGTTTTTAGTATTGTAGATTTTTTCCTAATCCTCAACCCAGATTAATTAAAACATAACATTAATTTAACCCCATATATCAGACCCTCAAAGTAATCTTTAATGGTTAGTTCACCTTTATGACATCCCTAAGCATTACAGTGTCATCAGTACAATAAATATGCAGTCCTCCATTTGGTAAAATAATGCTTACTTTTAAAGCTGCTGATTCCATTCCATCTCTGTCCGACAGATGGAAGGACGTACCAATTGTTGTATGGGTGGCCCCCAACAAATCATAAAATAGCACACAGCTTCATTACCTACTCAGGAATGGGCAGTCTGCTCTCTCCTGCAGCTCAGAATTCTCTGAGAGTGACAGCTCATGAGTGGGTATTGAGCAAGGCCAAGGGATCTTTGTGAGTTGCCTAGAACTCAGGATACAACATATTAGAAAATGACCTATTTATACATTTTGTATCTGCCAAATATGTCCTGAAGAGTGATGTTACTCTCTTTACTTGTCAGAAGAACCTTATATTAAGAGTAACTATCCAAAACTGATATTTCTGCTGTGGATCGGAGCTTGCCAGCTCCTTATATCTCTCATTGACTCCATGACATCCCCTCCCTCAAGGATATATTGAAGGGGTCACTCTGTTGTAGTGAACTCCCCATTTTTTGCCTATTCTGCATTTTGAAGAGTTCGGTGTATCAGTGCTGCACCATCAGTTAATGGCTTTGTATTGGCAACAGCTTTAAGCAGAACCATGCATTTTGGTAGAGATATCTCACCACTGGTGCCACAAGAGATTTTATAGAGCAACTGTACACTAGAACCTGTGCCCAAAAAGAGGCTGAAATTGGGCAAAGGACTAGTAGCAAATATTACCTCTTTTAGCTGATCTTCCCCCATTACTAACTTACCATAAGATAGCACACCAGGAAAAGGATACTTATTTTTAAAAGAGTGACATTTATTTTCAATTCAGTCCAATTAGATTTGAAAATTATAGTCACATGGTTCAAAATAACAATATAACTATACTTCACTATACTTATTAAGTAATTACAAGTAATTCTTCTTTATTATAAGTAATTATACTTATTTTTGTGTTAAAGCTTTGTAAATCATGCCCTATGTGTCTGGGTGGAGGCAGCCATCTTGGTAGAGGCATAAGGCACACGGTCATAGCCTTCAGCAAGGAGAACAGTGAGCAGCACAGTAGTGACATCACAAAATCTCACTCTAAATCTCCTGAAACTAGAAGTTGGTTTAGATTCCACATGGTGGGCACATCTCCATGAGGTTACAATACTGGAGTGCCTAGGAATATTTATATACCAGGGAGCGTACTGCCATTAGCCAGAATAATATAATTAGAGACAAAATGCACATTTTCAGAGTATTGCTTAGGCACAATTAACACTGATAGATGTTCCCTATTACACAGCAAATCTTCACTTTCTGCATTCATTTACACTTTAACAAACTAGTACAGGAGATTTCTACAACAATTCTATCACCTGTATTCAGATCCATTTGAAACCATTGACTTTTGCAAGCTGTAAAAAAACAATTTTTTCTAGTCAACCCTAATTGTGTCGAAAGCCATTGCACCTTTGTATAATACTTTACTTTGATGGGTCATTTCACTTTTTGTATAGACCAAAGGAATATAATAATATATATCTGTTGTTTCCAATGTGGTGTCATGATGTCATGACTGTGATTTCTGTTAAAGTGGATTACTTAGTTCAGAACGTGAGTTTGTATTCTTCAGATAAATCTGTTTGTTCCTTGACATTTGGTTCTTAATTTACTTGTCCACTTATTTTTCTTGTGTCAGTGTTTGCTGTTTATGTGCTTGCGCTGCTGCCTGCCTCTCCCTTTCAATGTCCTAATATTTCTTTCCCTGCTGCCCACTATAATTTACCTTATCTCTGCAATGCATATTGGATCCAAAAGGAAACAGAGTCAGACCAAGATGATGAGGTAAAATCATGCACTTTGTTCTATTTTAATCAACCGTAGATATGGTTATAGTGTCAGCCATGTCAGTAATGACTCATATGAAATGCCCAGGCTTCATGATAGATATATGCATGCTATCAAGGTTTATGATTCCAGTGTGCTTAATGCACATATAGTAAGTCAAAGCTGAGCTATGCGGCCTGTGTATTTTGTATGCGTCTAGACAAAAAAGGTTGATGGTCCCTTTATAGGTAATTTAGTATCCTGTTAAGAAGCTATTCCATTACAATACATGTTTTCATTCCTGTGTTTCTACCCATCTTCTTTCCTAACTTGTCTTTTCCTCTACCCTACTATTCTATCTTTTCATTTTCTTTCTTAGCTTCACTTTTACTTTTCTCTGCCTTATTAATCTTTCCATTCCTCTTCTCCTGCATTTCCATCTCTCTCCTGTATCCTGATTTACATTTTTCTCCTGTCTCCTGATTTCCATTTTTCTTGCTGCTTTTCATTTCTATTCCTCTTCTTTCTTCTCGTTTACATTCCTCTCCTCACTTTTCTATTAATTCCCTCTATTCTCATTCCCATTCCTATTCTCGCTTTCTTTTTTTATTCCTCTCCTCTCTCCTCTGTTACATTCCTCTCCTTTCTTCTTGTTTACAATCTTATTTTCTCTTCTCATTTCCATTGCTCTCCTCTCTTCACATTTCCATGCCTCTCCTCTCTATTGTTTCCATTCCTCTTTATTTTCTTGTTTACATTCTTCTCTTCACTTTGCCTCCCCTCTAGTCTCATTTCCATTCCTCTTCTCTCTTCTTTTTTACATTACTGTCATCTCTTCTTCTTTACATTCTTCTCCTCTCTTCTTGTTTAAACACCTTTTCTGGTTTACATTACTTTCCTCTCTTCTCATATACATTTTTGTCTACTCGTTTACATTACTCTCCTTGCTTCTCATTTAAATTACTCTCTTTCATTTCTCATTTTACATTTCTTTCCTCTCTGTGTGTTTTTACATTATCCTTCTCCCTTTTTGTTTCTTCTTGTTTCCATTTCTCTTCTCTTTTGTTTTCTTCATTCCTCTCATTTCTTCTCATCTCCATTCATGTTCTCACTTGAGATTTCAATCCTCTTTTTTCCTATAGTTTCCATTGCTTTCCTTGCCTCTCATCTCGTTCCTTACCTATTATCATCTCCCTGATTTCCACTCCATGATTTCTTTTCTCTTCTCTTGTTTCCTTCCCTTGACTATGTTTTGTTTTCTCCTCCCTTTTTGTCTCTTCCTCTGACATTTAATTTCCTCTTGCCTTGTTTCCTTACCCTCTTCTCTCATTTTCACTTTTTCCATCACTGCTTTCTTATCCTCTCCTCTCCCTTATCCTGTCCATTTTTTTCTGTCTTTATCATGTCCTTGAGTTTTCTATGCTCACTTCTGCTTATATTTTCACCTTTTCTTTCATACGCCTTTCTCTTCTTCTCTGTCCTTCCTTCTCTTCCTTTCCCCATGTTGATCTTCTCTCCTTTTGTTTCCTTTCATCCCCTCTATTATCTTTTTCTCTCTTCCCATCATTTTTCATTTACTCTTCTTCTTCTTCCTTTCTTTTTTATGACCGTCTGTCCTCTTGCTTGTGTTCTTCTTTCCCATTGTCTCCTTTCCTTGTTTAATTTTCTCTTCTTTAATCTTGTTTTCTTTTATCTTTACTCTTTCATTTTACTTATCTCCTCTACCATCAATTCTTTCGATTGTTCTTATTTCCTTTTATCTCCTCTCACCTAATTACCTTCCTCTCCTCGTGTTCTTTTCTTTTCTTTTGTAGACTAGCCTTTGGCACACTTGCATTATTCGCTTACACCTGCTTCCCAACTGAACATGTTTTTAAGCACCTGTCCTTTGTTATTTAGCATGTGTCCTTTTTCCAGAACTAGGAAACACATTTTTTTATGTTGGTCTCTTTTCTTAGCAGGCCGTTAATAATCTTATGCCAGTTAATCAACATATTGCAAAGGTCAAAGTAACAAAAAAAAAAATCTTTCCCTGCAGTGTCAAAATTGTACCGTTATTTTAAAATTCTTTATAGTAGTGCAATAAAAAGACTCCTAAACATCCAAAGTGTAGCTCACACTGAAGAGATTTATTATTTAAGGGTGAGGCAACTAATAAGTGATATTTTAGTTACAAGTGGGTAAAAAGTGTAACACTTGCAGACACTCCAGTGATCTTCCTAGGACTCCAAGGTGGATGGGAATAGTTCCAGAAACTATGGTTCTTGGCTCAGTTCACCTTCCTTGACATTTCTGGTTTCCATGTTCACCTTGGGATGTTGCTACACCTTTCTTTTCATTCTATACCATTCCATACTATAAAATATCAAAAATATAGAACAGGAAAAGCTGGATCCTCTTGCAAAGGCTGCAGCTTTTACGCATACCTGGGATCTCTCATCATCAGAGTCATCAAATAAGATATAAGAAATAATAATTGGTTTATTACCCTAGTACCAATAAAAATCTGAAATATCACTTTTTGTGTGGACCCTTTAAGATAATAAATACAGTTTTAGTTTTATAGTTCTAGCAACAGCTTGCATCTAACAAATAGTTTGTTGTTAGCATAACCAAGTAGTTTTTTTTTTCATTCCAAAATTTTTAATGCATACTTTTGTCTTAAACGCTAAACAATAACACAGTAGAGAAACCCATGTATTGTACTGTGTTGTGTTGTTTGTTCTATGTGATCTGTGTAATTTGTATATTTTGTTTAATTTAATGTATGTGTAATTTAATAAATAAGAATTATTTGGGATTATTAGTATTCATACCAATGGCTGAATAATTAGTAAACTGATGTTATAATTTTATATTATCTTTATATTTATTTTTTATTTGCTCCCTAGATGGAGAAAGTGGACCGTCGTCAGAATTTTGTGTCTTTAGCTTTGCGTAAGCGATACAGCTATTTGACTGAGCCTGGAATGAGTGAGTTTAATAACCTTCTAACAATACTAATTACTCTAAAAGAAGAGTTTACTTTTTGACATCAGATCATATTTTCAGACACTTTAAAAAAACTCACAATAATATAAAGTTCTAGATATTTTAGGAGCCTTACTTTTCAGTTTCCGTGCATTTGGCTGGTGTAAATAATAATATATGAATGAATATTAACTAGTGCCAGGAAGTTTTGTAGTTTGGCATTGCAGTTCCACACTTATGACCTCAAATAAAAAAGGCCATTAGTATGGAAGCTGGAAAGAAAATAAAGAAATGTGAAATACAAGTCATTAGATGTCACCTAAATGGTAAAGAAGAATAGCATACTTTTTTATATGTTACACATCATGTTAAGACACAATCTAGGAATGCCATAAAACAATTCAAGTAATGTAAGGATATGGGATATGGGATGTGGAAATAGTATACTCATTATGGAATGCCAAACTAACCTACCTCATATGCCAGGTATGAGCAAAAGTATTTGGTTAACATGATAGCTGCTGCACTAGGCTATTAGGTTATTGGTAAACAAAAGAAAACCTGCCTGACGCAAAATAATAGTCAATGTTGATATAGCATTTACTTGCAGTTCCATGAAATGTAATTTATGAAGATGAGGCCCAGATACTACTTTAAAATAAACCTGATTTTTGGCCATGCAGAGGAAAGCACCAGGTATACTTTAACACAGTCCACCACAGCAGCATATACTTACTTTTCCTCTGGTCAGCTACCGGGAGCAAAAAATAACTTTTCCAAGCTATGAATTATCACAGTTCTAGCTTATAAAGGGCTACGAACTCCCTGTGTGTCAGTTCTGATTGGTTCAGTGATGCCATGTGGGGTGAGTCACATTCTTCTACATACCCTTAAAGCGGAGTTCCACCTGAAAAAAAAAGTCAGCAGCTACAAAAACTGTAGCTGCTGACTTTTAAAATACAGACACTTACCTGTTCCTCGGTCCAGCGGTGTCCTAACCACCATTGGTTTCACTGGCCGTCTTCTCTCCCTGGCGCCAGCATCTTCAGTGTGGGCACCAGGCTATGACAGCTTGCGGCTTCACAGCTGGGTGCCCACTGCACATATGCGGGAAGCGCTGTGCTTTGAGAATGGCCCCGTAGTCTTCTGGGACCTGTCACGTGTCCCAGAAGACTACGAGGAGGGAGGGAGAGAGAACAACTTCCGCTTCTGATTGCCTAGGCGATCACAGTGGAAGTGGGAACAGGTACCTGTCAAATTTGGGTACCCGCTCCCCAGAGGTGCCAATCCTTAATGGGGAGTGGGGGACAAAGGCTTAAAATGGAACTTCCCCTTTTGGGTGGAGCTCTGCTTTAAGTTCTGGGCATTTCCTTGCTCCAGGCTCTGAACAGGACATCATGGAAGCACATCAAAGTTAAGTGTATGATGGGCAGAGAGAGCTGGTTAATGTAAACTTGTTGCTTTGCCTTGATTGGGAAAAGCACAGGTTTGCTTTAAAGAGGTAACCTGTTCAAGTTGGCAGACATCTTTGGACACTTGTCCAATACCCATAAGTTTGCGTTTATTTTTTGTATCATGACTGTACACTATACATTTTTAGCTCATACATATATACAGCTGGAAAGTAACTGTCAGGCCGAAATGACCTTATGAGGAACTTCCACGCTTCTCACTCAAATTGCTAGCCATATTTGTATTTAAATAAAAATTCCGGGTATGGATATTTTTACATAGTTACCTTGGTCCAGCTTGCATCAATGTACCTATGCATATATAATACCTGTGGAATCCCCCTAGAAACTGTAAATCACTGTGGTAGGCCCCACCACTACAGTGATCTCCACTAGCTTCTGGGCCCCATGGCAAATGGCTGCCCTGCTGTGTTGTAAACATAGGAGGTTGCCTGCTCAGCATGGGCACCATTCAGAGAATGCTTTGCATGTTCTCAGTTAATGCAAGGCATTCTTTGATTGGACAAGGTGGAGAGTGTGAGTCTTCGTTTAATAATATTAGTCAAAACTGGACCAAAGTAAAAATGTAGAAATATCCTTACCTGGAATTCCTCTTTAATTTACACTTACAAACTAGTTCTGTACACAAGATTTACATGCAATATTTGCTGACTAGTTGTAGAAATGTGTCTTAGCTTAACAATTTCTGTAGTGTCCAAAAGCTCATTATTGTCTTCCTGCTTTGGTCAGTTTTATGGCATTCTGTCAAAAATGTTAATCTAACACAAGAAACTGATGTCATGATATTATGCTAAAGGTAAACTCTTCTTTTAAAAAACATGATATAGTAAGCAATGGTTTTCCAAGACCAGTCTTATTTAAGGCCATCAGTGTAACGTTACTTTGTTGTCATACATTATACTGAGGTCCGGTTGGGAGGGAAGTTCTTTGCATGAAGCCACATAATGGCTGTTGAGTGACTGGCTTTGGAAAATATTTGTATAATGTGCATTTTAAAGATATAATCTCATAACCCATCGCTTGTTCCAAAATAACATTCCGTGCACGCTTAAATCCACATTTTTTTTAAGTTAACCTTGCTTGACCATTTTCTCAATGATCACACATCTCACCTGTCATCAAAACACAGATGCTTCCAATCCATTCCATGTTATGTTTAATTTGGTTTTATCAGAATTATAAAATGAAGAAATGCATGAAAAATGCAAGAGAAACTACAATGTTATCAGAATTGTTCTGAAAAAAAATGGATCTTATTGGCTTTGTGATTGTGCAACTTATTTCTAAATTTTGCATGAGAGAGAGATATATTTGAAGGTTTCCCCACATTTTGCACTGTACTTGCCTGTCATATACATGAATCTGGAGTGTGCATGAAAGATTCTGACAAAAGACCAAAGTTAACAAATGTTTGTAGTTGATATTGTTTTCAGTTGACAGTAGGGTGTGTGTCAGTTTTGTACAACCAGAGAAAGCGCAAAAGACAATACTAATTCCAAACACTAACTCGACACAATTATACTGTATTTTGCAGCAGGGGAATACAGCTTGTTTTATAATTAAACGGCACATCAGAAAGTCAATAGGAAGCTTGAGTAGCAGTGTGTGTTTGTAGTCCATTTTTATGTGTTGTCTTTTCTGTCTTTCATTGTTTTTTCTGCTTCACGTCTTTTCCTTTGTTGCTTATATCCTTTGCTCATTTTACATCCATGCGGTCCCAGACATTTTTTATTTGAGCCCATTCAGTTTCACCATAACCATCATTTTGACTCATATAAACAGTTGTACTTGCTTTTTGAAATTATATAATCGTTACTGACCAATTTTTTTCTCTGGTCTCTCTGTTTTTCCAATCATTTTTTCGTTAATTTTGCTTTTAATTTTGATTTACTCATGAAAGAACCAGTTGAACGGAGCACAGGAACAACAAGACCTGTCCCTGCCACTTATGCTTACAAGCCAGGCTTTCCAACAAGACCGTATCAGTCATGGACAACTGCTCCAATTACAGTCCCTGGGCAGACCAAATCAGGCTTTACATCTCTGTCAAGCTCCTCCTCTAATACACCATCAGCATCCCCATTAAAATCAATTTGGTCTGTCTCCTCTGCTTCTCCAATAAAATCCACGCTAGGAGCTTCTACTACATCTTCTGTTAAATCTGTTAGCGATGTAGCATCACCAATAAGATCATTTCGGACAATCGCTTCTCCGATAAAAACTGTTGTGTCTCAGCCTCCATATACAATTCAAGGCTCTACAGGGTCACCAATTAGGGTTTCTTCAATAGCAGAGGCTGCTGCTTTCAAAGGATTGTCTTCCACCTCAGTTTTCACTTCCAGAACTTCTCCAGTGACCACTGCTGGGTCTCTTTTAGAAAGATCATCCATCACAATGACACCTCCAGCCTCCCCTAAATCAAACATCAATATGTATTCTTCAACTTTACCATTTAAATCAATCATTACTTCTGCAGGGTCACTTTCATCTTCAGCTTTAAAATCCGTGGTTTCTCCTGCCGTCTCTACTACTTCTAAAGTGAATATTACGTCTACTCTTTCTTCACCATTAAAGATTGGGAATGGTCCAAGTGAGGTTGGATTAATGAATGGGTCTGCCTCACCTTTAAAGTATCCACTTTGTTCAAATTACATCAATGGCTCAGCTGTAAATTTGCAAGACAAAATATCAGCTGTTACAAAATCAGCAACTGCTTCAGTTAGCACAACAATTGAGACAGCTGAAAAAAGCTACTCCATTCCCACTACTTCGCAAATGTCATATTCACCTCTCAAGTCTTTCTCATCAACCGCTTCAGCTTTTCAAACCATAAGAACTCCCCCTACTGGTGCAGTGTACACATCTTTTAGGTCTACTTTGTCCTCTACTACCTCATCTGTTACATCGTCAACCTTTACTGTACCAGTATATTCTGTAGTAAATGTTTTATCAGAACCAACCTTAAAAAAATTGACAGAGTCTGCATCATTGACTAAATCCACTGCTACTCTGTTATCACCATCAAAAAATGCATCAGCAGAGACAACCAGTCAGTTTAGTCGAATTTCTTCACCCCTTAAAACATCCTTATTTTTGTCTCCTGCTGCCCTCAAGTTATCTGCTACCTCTCCATTGTCTTCGAGTCAGGAAATCTTAAAAGACGTTGCTGATATGAAAGAAGACTTAATAAGAATGACGGCAATTTTACAGACTGATACTTCTGAGGATAAACCATACCACTCAGAATTAACTAAGGAAGTTAGAATTGAAGATGAAGAGCCATTTAAAATTGTAGAGAAAGTAAAAGAGGACCTGGTCAAAGTCAGTGAAATTTTGAAAAAAGATGTGTTTTTGGAAAAAATGGCGTCTGTTTGTGGTCAGGGGCAATCACCAGAAGATGACTGGGTAGAATTTAGTAGGGAGGAACTTGAAGAAGCTAGAGAGCGTGCCAGCACCACCCCATTTTACTCAACAGACAAGGTGGAGTTAAAATCTAGAACTTTATCTGAAAAAGACTATAATTTAACAAAGGTCATTGATTACTTGACAAATGACATTGGTGGTAACACATTTTCAAATCTGAAATACAGATATGACGATGGGAAAAAAGAAGGAGAGGAGAAGCAAAAAAGAGTGTTGAAACCAGGTATAGCACTACAGGACCATAAACTAAAAATGCCCCCATCATCAATGAGATCTTCGGCTTCAGAAAAAGAGTTGTGTAAAATTGCAGACTCTGTCTTTGGAACAGACATGATTTTGGAGTCACCAGATGATTTTTCGCAACATGAGCAGGATAAAAGTCCTTTGTCTGATAGTGGATTTGAAACAAGAAGTGAAAAAACACCATCTGCCCCTCAGAGTGCTGAAAGCACTGGTCCTAAGCCACTTTTTCAGGATGTACCCATCCCACCAGTGATTACTGAAACAAGAACTGAAGTTGTGCATGTTATAAGAAGCTACGAGCCTTCAAGTGGGGAGGTTATAGAATCTGAAAAGGGGGAAACTTCACAAATAAAACCAGATAAATCTTTTATGGTGGAACTAGAACAAAGTTCACCTGGATCCATAAAAGTCAAAAGTAAGGGATTTCAGCTTAAATCTGGAATTGATGAGGAGGACCACACAGGGGTTTTAGGAAAAGGAGTAAGAGTAAAAGAAGAAACTCATATCACAACAACTACAAGAATGGTTTACCATCAACCTCCTTCTTCTGAAAAAGCAGAAAGGATAGAGGAAACTATGTCTGTCCATGATATAATGAAAGCTTTCCAGTCGGGCCGAGATCCATCTAAAGAGCTGGCAGGTCTGTTTGAACACAAAACTTCAGTAACTTCGGATGTTCAGAAGTGTACAGAAAGCCCACAACAACTTGCTGAAAGAGACACCAAAATGAAACCAAAACTGGAGCGCATAATTGAGGTCCATATTGAAAAAGGTAACCAGGCTGAACCTACAGAAGTCATTATTAGAGAAACAAAAAAACATCCAGAGAAGGAGATGTATGTTTATCAAAGGGACTTAAGTCAGGGAGACCTAAACAACAAAGATATAGTAACAGAAAGAAGTAAAATGTTTCCATACTCAGATGAACAAGGGCAGGCTGAAGAAGAGGAGCTAACAGCAGAAGAGTCCTTGCCATCTTATTTAGAGTCTTCAAGAGTAAATACCCCAGTATCTCAAGAAGAAGACAGCCGCCCAAGTTCAGCTCAGCTTATCTCTGATGACTCATACAAAACACTAAAGTTATTAAGTCAGCATTCAGTAGAATATCATGATGATGAATTATCAGAACTAAGAGGGGAGTCATACCGCTTTGCTGAAAAAATGCTCCTTTCTGAAAAACTAGATGACGCAGAGGAATCAGACCATGCTCTACTTCTTGGGTCGGACTTCCATCGTACTGAAAAGCACTGCAGAGAGCGTGAAAGAGTGATCCCAACTCCTAAAAAGGAAATTCTTTCAAAAATATACAAAGATGTAACTGAAAATGGTATAGGTAAAATGTCCACTGATGACTCTCGTGATAAAGTGACAGTGTTGCATTATGCTGGAGATCCCAAAAGTCCCAAACATGCAATGTGGATGCGATTTACTGAGGATAGGCTAGATAGGGGTAGAGAGAAGTTGTTATATGAAGACAGAGTAGACAGGACTGTCAAAGAGGCAGAAGAAAAATTGACTGAAGTATCCCAGTTTTTTCGGGACAAAACTGAAAAACTGAATGATGAGCTTCAGTCACCAGAGAAGACAACTCGCAGAAAGAACAGTAAGGAGGTAGCTTCAGGTCGCAGTTCTATAAACAGTAGTCCTGAAAAAATTAAATATACTGAAATGAGAACATCCAGTGATGACTGGACAAAAACCCCCCAGTTTATGACTGATGGAAAGTGTGTCACCTTGGCTGACGACCGAAAAGCTACAAGTTTGCCTTGCAGTCCAGAAAAGAGGGCTTTTGACCACAAGGCAGAGAGTCAACGATCAGGTTCACAATCTGGCTTCCAACTAACACAATCAAAGCTCAGCTCTATTAAACTAAAATTTGAGCAAAGTATAAATCTCAAAAACAAGGACAGTTCACAGGAAGAAAAAAAGCGTGAATCTCCATCAAAAATTCCTGTGAAGAAAACACAGGACAGTCGACTTCCATTTTTCCAGTTCACCACAAAGGATAAACAAAAAACAATTGATGAAATGAATGGAGAGTTACCTTTGCTCAAAGATTCTATTACAGAAGCCATTAATGAAGAATGTTCCAAATTCAAAGAAAGGATTAAAAATAGTGCTGGATTTTTAGATCAGAAACCTGATAAATTGATTGGAGGACTAAAAGACCAATACCTTCCACAATCAACAAACACCACAACTGGCCATACTGTTTCTCCGGACAAGAAAGTTTACAGAACATGGGAAATGTCTGGTAGTACTAATCAGAAAACACAAAAGGAAAAGCTGAAACATGTGATCATACAGGACAAAGATTCAGAATTGGATGGAGCTCATCTTCCAGCCCAACAAACTGTTAAAGAACAAACACCATCCAGGAATGGATCTTCCACAAAAGAAATAAAGGAGAATTATGTTAAATCTCCTTCTAAAAAACTTTTATACACTGAACTTGCTCGTAAGGATATAGGATATACCAATGAAGAAAAAGTTGAGAGCAGGAAAGAAGGGACAGGTTCTCATATGTCTAGAATTAGTGAAGAGAAGAAAGGAGGATTAAGTAGTTTTGATAATATTAGCAGCCAATCAAAAATTGATAGAGAACGTACTAAAGCACCAATATCACCAGTAACTAAGCAGAATAAACCTGATATTCTTCATTCTGCTTTCATTACAGATGAAAGCAATAGACGCAGTAGTAGTGGCCTGCCAGGCAAAGCACAAGATTACCTTGGGTTTTCACCTTATAATGAAGATACTGAGCTCTCCCCTGTTAAATCCCCTGATTCTTTAGAGATTAGTCCTAGCAAAGACAGATTAGCTGGCTTGCATGAATCTGTAACATCTGAGGACATAAATTCAACAGCTAATGCAGAGGTGTTAAAGGAGATAAAAACACTACCAGTTTATGTTAGTATTGTACAGGTAGGAAAACAGTATGAGAAAGAGGTGCAACAGGGAAGTGTTAAAAAAGTAGTTAGCCAGGAGAGTAGGACAGTTCAGGAAACAAGAGGTACACTTTTTTCTATTAAACCACAGAAACAGCCCCCATCTCCTCAGGGAAGCCCTGAAGATGATACCCTAGAACAAGTGTCCTTTATAGATAGCTCAGGAAAAAGTCCTTTAACTCCAGAGACACCTAGTTCAGAAGAAGTCAGTTATGAATTTAATTCCAAAACGCCTGACTCCTTAATGCCATATATACCAGGAAAACCAAGTCCAATACCTGAAGTCTCTGAAGAATCAGAGGAGGAAGAAGTAGTCCAATTACCATCTATTAAACAAAACATCCCAGATGCCCTAAATCATGACATAGCAAAACCAATTACTCTTAGCAAGGACTCAAATAAAAGAACAAAGGACAATAGAGTGGCATATATTGAATTCCCTCCTCCGCCACCTCTAGATTCTGAAAACAGTGATTCAAGCAAAAAAAATGTAGAAAATTCAACAGATAGTGAAATGGAACTTACTGAAGTTAATTTACAAGATGATCAGGACAAGTTTCTTTCAGCTGAACCAGTAATTAGAGTGCAACCACCATCTCCTGTCCCCCCTGAATTTGATGCAACTGATTCAAGTGATGATGAATCTGTCCTCCAACCTGTCGCAATTAAAAAGTATACCTTTAAAATGAAAGATGAAGTAAAAGAATGTACAAAGATAAATGGTTCTGGGAAGCCCTGTCCTCTAAAACAGTCTAACGAAACAGATATGGGCTTAGGTTCCCCATCAAATGACCTAGAGCAAAATGGTAATGGCAATGACCAGTCTGTTACTGAGTGTTCTATAGCAACCACTGCGGAATTCTCACATGATACTGATGCAACCGAGATTGATTCTCTTGATGGTTATGATCTGCAAGATGAAGATGATGGGCTGACAGAGAGTGAGTCAAAACTTGGGCCAGCACAGGATGTTGAAGTAAAAAAGGAGCCGTGGGCTAAAGAGAGTGTTCTGAAACATAGTGATCGCAGCTTTAGCCAAAGCAAACTTGAAGTTATAGAAGAAGAAAAGGGAGTAACTGAGGAGTACAAGCCATGCAGAAAGATATCCGATGGTGAAAAAAACACCGATCAAAGTGACAAGAAGCAAGGAGCTCTGTTCTATTCCATGGAAGGAAGGCATCCAGATAGACCAGTGTTTCCAGACACATACTTTAGTTACAAGGTGGATGAAGAGTTTGCAACACCTTTTAAAACAGTAGCTACAAAGAGCCTTGATTTTGATCCTTGGTCCAGTAAAGCAGGAGATGATGATGTGTTTGAAGCAAAATCCAAAGATGAAGAACCCAAGCCTTTTAGTCTAGCTGTAGAAGATCGCTCTCAAGCAACCACACCAGACACAACTCCTGCCAGAACTCCTACAGATGAAAGTACACCAACTAGTGAGCCCAATCCCTTCCCATTTCATGAAGGGAAGATGTTTGAGATGACTCGCAGTGGTGCTATTGACATGAGCAAGAGGGATTTTGTTGAAGAAAGACTCCAATTTTTCCAGATTGGTGAGCATAATTCTGAAGGGAAGTCAGGGGACAAGGGGGAAGGGGACAAAATTACTTCCATCACACCTCCACAGTCAGGGGACATCTTGATAGATCCCATCCTAGAAAAACAAGTAGAGACATCTACAGTTGAACATTCTACCATCATCCAGGGAAATGGAGATTGTCTTGATGCAACAAATGGTAATAATTCATTGGAGAAATCAGCAGCTACTACTAATTGTAAAGTTGATCCTAAATTGCGCACACCTATAAAGATGGGCATATCTGCCTCAACAATGACCACGAAGAAAGATGGCACTGGAGAAGTGGCAGATAAAACAGAGGCTGTGCCAGATTCTCATTTACTAGATAATGATAAGTCTATTTTGACAAACATATCAACCAGCGAGACAATCATTAGTCACATAGAAATACATGATTTTCAGACAGAAAACTATAACAATAACAACAACTTGGATTCATTAGCTTTAAATGTAAACAATAATGCAATTAATTTGGTATTAAGTAAAGACTGTGAATCCAAGTCTGAGGACAAAGGTAGCAAAACGAAGGGCAGTGTTAATAAAGAACAGGGTACAGCCAGTCTAGATATGGATAGGGAAAAGAAAAGAACCCAAAAAAGTCAACAGAAACTGACAGATCCAACAGGTAGTAAACCAAAATCTAAACTGCCAGTTAAAGCCATATCAGTTAAGCCAGTAACTAACCAGTCCAGCAATACAAACACTTCATTCAGTAAAAGAACAGTCCTTATTAAGAATGAGAAAGACACAAGACAGGAACACATATCCAGTATAGATGGTAGGTTTTCTAAGATCCCCATAAAGAACATAAGTAAAGTAAATACCACAATACAGAAAAAAGCTACACCGAAACCTAAGCAGAAACAAGTAGAGAAGGAGGCAACTAAACCGACTCCTTCAAAGCTACCAGTAAAGGTAAGATCTTTGCCTTCTGCCACTTCAGCAGCCAAAGTAAAGAATCATGAGTTCAGTGAGGTTTGTAAACACTCTATTGAATATTTTAAGGGAATTAGTGGTGAGACATTAAAGCTTGTGGACCGCCTTTCTGATGAAGAGAAAAAGATGCAGCCTGACCTCTCTGATGATGAAGACAGTACATCGAGAAATACATCATTATCTGAAGCCACCCAAGTCTCCCAGCCTTCAGTAACATCGAGGTCTGCTAAAGACATGAAAGCAGACGCAACATCTTTAAAATCAAAGATTGAAAAGACCGACAGTGAGAGAAGGAGCAGTAGAAGGACTGGTGAGAATAAAGGCAGTCAGGTTTCTGGAGCTTTAATAGCTCACATCGTGGAAATCCAGCCTAGTTTGTAAACCTCTCGACTTGTTGACCTTAGTGCATGACCTGTCGTGATTGCTTGTGGAGTGACCTCTGTTAGTTTCCATTCTTCCATTGTCATCTGTGTTTGTTGTCAACACTATTCGTTTTGTGTGTCTAGAAAACATACACTAGTTATCTAGAGAAGCATGCCAAAACATTCAGAGAAATTACACTACCCATGATTGTAAACATGTTTCTAGCCTGTACATAGACAACACCATCCAACACTTGTACTCACCTTTTGTACACTCAACTAGCATGTCTACTTACCATTCAGTAACTGTGCTCACTTACTTAAACTGTAGTCATCTCACATACAAAAGTACAATCTGTAATAGTCAATTTTATTTTGAAAATCACTAATCTCACACACTTTTTAATTTCGTAGAATAGATCCACAACTCTGCCATTCATGTGTGACACAACAAAATGTTATTATAATTGTACCTTTGTGAATTTCAGGTCCTCAAAGTCCATGCGAACGTACTGACATAAGGATGGCCATAGTTGCTGATCATTTAGGACTTAGTTGGACAGGTAATTAAAAATGGTTTCATAACATTTTAAAATCATCCGTATTAAAAAGTGAACAGTATAATGATATAATTTCCTTTATGGGGTAAAGCCAACTACTGTATTGTGTAATACAAACTGCATTCATTGATTATGTTGAATAACATTACAGGAATTAAAAATGACTAAACCTACACATTGGTCACCACCAAACAAAAAATAAACAATAAAAACATTTTTTTTCCCAAGCTGCATCTATCCCCACTCAATAGTGTGAATATATCAATAATACAATTATAGCTGCTCTAGGTGAACCTACTAATAATTATTATATATGCAAAAATACATATCCAGACAATTTTATTTATATACTGTATATAAAATCACAAATATACATATTAGTCCTCAATATATAAGAATTTAAGGAAGTTTCTGCTTGAAGCATGGAGCATGGACTTTTTATGGACTCCGTTCTATTTTTGAGTATATATTGAGCACTAATATGTATATTTGTGAATATATATTATTCTGTACATGTATTTTTTGCTTATATAATTATTATCATTAATAGGTTCACCTAGCGCATCTAGAATTGTATTATTAACTTTACAGGAATGTTTAGGCTTCATGCACACTGTTTTTTTATGAGCTAAAAAAAATGCTAGAAAAAAAGCTGGATGACAAACGCTGATAATAGAAATAAAATTGTAGTAGCGTTTTAGTAGCATTTAGAAGTCTTTAAGAGTGTTAGCATTTTTTTAGTGTTATAGTACATGTAGGGGGAAAAAAAGCTAGAAAAAAAGCTGTTAGGGGCATTTTAGTAGTGTTTAGGAGTGCTTAAGAGCATTCAGCATTTTTTTCTGCCAGAAAAATGCTCCCCCACATTTTTTTTTCTGCTCCTAAACAATGAAGCTTAAAAAAATGCTCTTAGGCTAAAATAGTATGCATGGACACATAGGATAATGCTATTTATCTTCTAAGAGCAGAAAAAATAATAACAGCTTCTAGGAGCTTACAAAAATGCTAGTGTGTATGGAGCTTTAATCAGTAGGCTTTCATTCCCTGAAAAACTTGGAGAGTATTCTTCCTACCATATGTGGACTCTTGTTGGGTTTGAGAAACATGAACATTTTATTTATTACCAGTGTAGCATATTGGCCAATGTCACAGAGATGTAAATGTACTATAACGTTTCACTGTAGCAAGTCATTTACACATAGCGTTTTCATCTAAGTGACAATGCTATGAAAAATGCAAGGTTTGCATATAGGTAACTTTGTACCTTATCTTCTACAAGGTGGGGTTAATGTCCATAGTAACAATATCATGCTTTTTTGTTCAGTTTGGAAATGAGAATGAGCATCTGATATAGACTACAATTTTTTTTTCATTCTTTTTTCTTCATCACCACTATCGAGGGATGGATTTATACTTCCTGCTCCCTTTTTTTCCACTTTGAAATGGAGGTCTGTAATAGCTCAGTGGAAAGAGATAAATAAGTAAAAGAAAAAAGAACTGGGAACAACCAATTCCTAATTTAGGGGATCTCATCAGATATTTTGATACGTGCTGTCACTCAGTCATATATGAATTATTTTATTCAGGAATTCTGTCCTTATCTTACTTAAACTGGCCTATTTCGGTCTTTAAATCATTTAGTGATGTGAAAAACGTAGTATCTGCTGGCATCTGTTATCAATGACTATCGATTCTACAGGCGTGAGACAGATTTTTAAGAATTGGACAGATTCATATGTAAATTCTTTTGTCAACTGCTCTCAAATAGCAGTGTGACAGAATAAAACCTGCCTTGATCACTTTTTCATTGTTTCTCTTTCAGTGAAAATCTGTCTCCTGTCCAGTGGTATATATGTCACAGTTGGCTATCCAGGTTTATAGGCACAAGGGACGCAAATACACATAAAAACTAATTTGTTTTATAATGTTTCTTGGTGAGCTATTCTTTTCTGACCTCAACAAAAAGTTTCTATAATGTTTTTACAGGCAGAATGAATGGAAAAGCTTAGTGGACATTTGAAACATCTGTTCTTTAATGTGTTTTATTTAAACATTTTTACATTTCAGAACTTGCGAGAGAATTGAATTTTTCAGTCGATGAAATTAATCAGATTCGTGTTGAAAATCCTAATTCTTTGACCACACAAAGCTTTATGCTGTTAAAGAAGTGGGTTATAAGAGAAGGCAAGAATGCAACAAGTAAGTACTCTGTCCTTGTATGTATAAATGTATGTGGTGGATAACAGAATAATCTTATAGGCATTTTAATGCAGTGTTCAATTAATACTCGTAATTCCTTGTTGGATGGCAACCGTTGTTTACAAGATTCTGATTTAGCCCTGGTTCACACTGGTTCCTGCTTTGAAATCTTGCAAATTCACTTGAAGTTGTACAATTTCAAATTTGCATGTTAGTGCAACTTCAGGTGTGGCTTGGCAGACATCTGTGTGACTCCATGCACAGTCGCACCTGAAATTGCAAAAAATATTACAGGAACTACTTTCACAATTGGTGCAACTCTGACGGAGGCGGAGTTGAAGCAATATTAACTGTTCCATTGCTTACAATTGGGTGTGACCTGTCATACGACTTTAAATTGTCAAAACGCATGACAAGTCGCACCGGTGTGAACCAGGGTTTACCTGCCAGAGTGACAGCATCATTCTGTCATAATCTATACTACACAATATTTGGCTTCCAGACGATTCTGTCCTCACTGATACCCATGTCCCCCCCACTGTGGGAATCTCTGAAATAAACTTGCTGAAGATTCTTCAGTGGTATCTTGATTCAGCCCTTACATTATTACAGGAGACAGTACTAGCGTAGGTATATAGAAAGTGCAGTGCTAAAATAAGTGAATGATATTATAGTGAAAATAAAGTGCAAAGTCAATCTGACATATAACGGAAAAAAAAAATTAAAATTGATTAACGGAACAGTCAAGTGCAGCATATAAAAATCAAATATAAAAAAATGTTTAATAAATCATTCACTAAATGTGAAACAGTAAAGTGCAGCATAAAAGTGAGAATATATAAAGTCCATAAAATATCAGTGGAGTAAGAGCTAGAAATTGTCCGTAAGGATATAAGTACGGCAATCACGGTGAAATATTGTGAAGTGTTCTAATAGGAAATCCACCACCTCTGTCAGATGTACACTCACCAGACAGCTACTGCTAAACAGCATGTAAGCACATCTCATCTGGGTACTGGTAACAGCAATGAAGCCTCTGCAAGGGATGCTCAGCCAAGGGCAAAAGTGGACCTTCTCCTATGAGGAATAGCTCACCACAGGAGCCAAAAGTAGCATATAGTGTAGTATTTTATTAAATAATGAATAAAAGACAATCCACGTGGAAACAAGTAAGAATGAAGTTAAAATGGAGTACCAAGATGGCTGCCGTTCCGCCCTTCGGCAACGGCGGCGTGACATCGGCAAGTGATATTTATAAGTACTAGCTTAGGGAACTGGCAGAAGGAACCACAGATCAGTGAGGGATCAGGAATGTAAAATATCCAGATTCCTTAGTAAGCGTATCTGTAGAAGATAGTGGAATTCAGCTACGGGAGGACTTTTTTAATGAACTTTTTTATTAATAAAGCATTTTACTTTGTATCAATATATTAATAGTTGCTTCCAGTACTGCAGTCAAGTGTAATCCTCAAATTATTATAGGAACAAAGTGGCTAGTCTTCACACTACTATTGAGTACAATAGTAATGACTGTTGCCTATTTATGAAATATAAAAAACTGATTAACAATGTGTTAGGCTACGTTCACACTAGCCTTGTGTGCAGGCGGCAGAGAGGCATTTGGGAAGCGTTTTTAGCGCTTCCCAAACGCCTCTGCCAATTCTGCACATTACAGCACATGGTGCTGTTCTAACGGGAGCGTTCGCGTCGCGTTGCGTCGCGGCAAAACGGACGCCTCTGGTCGAGTCAGGAGGCTTTGAAGCCTCCTATTCTCGTCTATGGTGCCGCTCCGCAAACACCTGGCCGGCGTTTGCGGTGCGGTTGTGAAGTGGTTGCGGGGCGTTTGCGGAGTGGTAACACCTCTCAAACTGTATTATAGGCGTTTGTGGGGCGTTATTGTCAAATGCCTAGCAACCTCCACTAAACCGCGCATGCGGCGTTTGCGGAGCGTTTGCCGAGCGTTAAAAAACGCTCCGCAAACGCCGGACCAACGCTTGCCAAATGCTATAGGGGCATTTGGCAAGCGTTGGTAAAACAGCCAAGTGTGAACGAGCCCTTAAATAGTGAATCTATCAATTTTATAAAACTGACCGATGCGATAGATCCACTTGTTTTTAACAGGGAATAAATAATCCAGCAAAAGCAGAGATTACAATCCAATAAAATTGATTTTGCAGCAAGAGTTTTGTATAAAGGCTAAGTTTACCTTTTTTTCTAAATTCCAGCTTCCCTATGTACCAGCATACCATTCATTTGCTTATGTTGTAGAAATGATGTCCTAGGACAGGCATTACTTCAGCTTCCAGTTTGTTCCATAGAAAAGTTGTCGACTACTTCTTGCTACCCGTACCTTTGGTTGGAAAAACTCATGAAGTACTTGACCAGCTGACCTCATGAACACTCCCCCTGCACCAGCTATCCCCCTCAAGGAGATTGCTACCACCCACCTTTGTACTCACAAACAATCATACAATGTCAGTGTACACCATTATAACACAGCCAGGGTCTTCTTCATTTGTACCTTACCTTCTTCTTGCATAACTCGTCCATTTGGCATGTGCAGGAGCGATATCATAACAGCCTATGTGGAGCAGAACTGTAGTACTGAAAACAGGAGAAGTGTGTTCCTGGAAGTCTGTAAAGCTCACTGTACACTAAGCAATCTCCTTTAGACCTACCATCCACTATGTAGTGCTAAGGTCTGCCTGACTGGATACAGAGTGATTGGATGGATAGGTGTGACCTCCTTTATATACAGTGTTCAGAAAAATTAAAGGAAAACTTTTTAGGCAGAGTATAGCATCATGTCAATTAAACTCCTTTCACTTGTAACATTTTATTTTTGAATAAATGTAATTTACCGAATGAAAACCACATACACTGTTAGAAAAATATTTGAGAATAATTTTCCATCCTGCTGCTTCAAATTTGTGTGTCACTGTGGTAAAAAACGAATGTTGGTTTGACCCCACTGAAAATTAAAAGAACAAACAAATGTTCTTAACATGAAAAGTTTTGTTTGAAACCTACTAGTGTATACCCAGTTTAAGTCACTAAGGACTCCCTGAAGTGACTTATCTACAAATATCTATTCAATATAATGGGATAAATAGTGAAAGGCAAGTTTGTAAAAATACAACATTCAAATTTAACACTGCAATAATAAGTCAAAACTTGTACTGACAGAAAATACTCTGCATTTGGCCTTTATCGAAAATGCATCTAGAAAAGTGGCAGAGAGCATTGTACTCACATCACAATTCAATATGCATGTAATGAATGAAAGATGTATCACTATATATTGTATATTTTTTGTATTGTCTGTATCTCATCTACTTTATACACAAAACTAACGTGTGTATGTTTTGTTTTAAGCTGATTCCTTAACTAATGTCCTGACGAAGATCAACCGAATAGACATAGTGACGTTGTTGGAGGGCCCAATATTTGACTATGGAAACATTAGTGGAACAAGAAGTTTTTCAGATGACAGCAATGTGTTCAATGACCCCGCTGTTGATGGTAATTATATAGACTGTACAGTATGGTAAAAATGAAAGAATAGGGTTGTGAACGGAACCCACTACTGTTAAAAAAAAAATCTTTATTCATAAATTTAAATACTGTATTTATTTATTTATCTGTCTAGTCCATTGGAGGGAAAGTTCACTGACAACGAATGTTAAGTTAGTAATCCTATTTTAACTAACCTTTGGAGTCCTTCATAGGAGGTTATGCAAGAAGTAGATTACCTGTCCTTTCTTCTGCTTAGGAAATGATGAGGTGAAGAAAAACTTAAGTTAGACACTAAAAACCCATCAGTTTGTTTTCTGGATTTTGGGAGGAAACTTAGGCAAATAGTGGAAAAGCTACACAGATGTGGAGAGAAGATACAAACTTGTGAGCAGATACCCTAGAGAAAGTAAAATCCAGTCCCTCAGTGGTATGGCTAATGTGCTAAGAGTTTAGCCAGTATACTGCCTAGGCATATTTGTACATTGCTTTACGGATACATTTCTAATGAAATTGGCAACTGGATGCTTGGAGAGATTAGAAATTAAATGAAATCACTTCATTTTCCTGTGTTATTTAACATGTTTTAAAATGAAGTTATAAAGGGTCTTATCAGTGCTGCTGTAATTTCTGTCCTTTTAGCCAAGTCATTGCTCTCATTAAGGTGACACTAAACTCTGGTTTCAAAAAAACAAAATCTGTTCAAGTATGTATTCTTAACTCAAAAAATACGTATTGCTGCCACTCTCCTCCAAATGTCCAAATTCCTTTTTTTAATTTTGCTGCTGTGTTCTGACTTTTTGTTAAAGGGTGGTTATATTTGTTCTCCTTGGTCCTATTCTATGTAGGAACATAGCCTCCCTCTCTTGCTCGCGCCTGAAATGGACTATGGGATTTGTAGTGTGCATAGGGCAATGCACATGACCACGACTAACATGCACTCTTTAAAACAAACGAAAATGAGTGGGAGGAGGAGAGGTTTGGGAGCTTACAGAGGACATTAGGAGGCAGAAAAACACAGGAAGAAATGATTTAATGAAAAACAGATTACTGGACTATTAAGTATTGGATGTGTATGGATTCGTTTTTCAGAATAAAGATATTGTTTAGTGTCACTTTAAAACATATGTTTACATATCTAATTGCACATAAGCTTTGCTTACATAGTCATAGTCATTAAGATGTGAATGCTCTATTTTCCTTTCCTCAATTTTTATCCATTAAGTTCTTCTACGTTACGTTTTATTTTGTTTTGGCTTAAGGGGCATTGCCAGGACAAGGTCACTCAGGGCAAAGAAGCCAAAGTGAGCCCCTCTTCCCCTTCAATATGTGTGAGCTTAGGGGATGCTAGGGGAAAGCAGTGGTCCACTTGCCAAAATGCCTTGTATCAGAATGAGCTCACTGGTGCCCCCAGCCATACAGTAAATCGTTGCTCGCAGGTCAGCCGCCCCTCCTGCCCTCCGCTTGGCTTGGCCCTGTTACGGGTTTACCACATTCTAGCAACAATTTGCCTTTTGACCAGGACTCAAAAACTGTCAGCTATAATACTGTATATGGCCTCTCAGACTTTGTATTATCCACATTAAATGCCTCAGTTGTATCTCTTGTTTATGCTTGTAGGCATTTTGTGAATTCCTGTGATAGCCCTAATGGGGCACACAAATTCTATAATGAACTTTGAAGGCTGGTTTATTTTAAGGGAAAAGCAAAGTTACTACTTATGCTCAGATGTGGCAAGGTACTCTTGCTTTACTTTTTGAGAATTTAAAAAGAGAATCCTGGTAGTGTTTTTAAATATTCCGAAACTGCTCCCATCCTTCTCTTGCTTCCACTCTCCACCATGCTAGAGTAACCACTCTCTGCATAGTAATGCTAGTGGTTTCATCACGCTCTGACATTGCCTTTACATTCTGTTGTGGGAAGGGAATCATTTACAGAACTACTTCAAAGTAAATCCTTTACTTCAAAATACAAATTGATGTCATTTTGTATTTGCAGTCTGTTAAATGTGAAGATTTCAAATTTTGTCATTTTACTGCTTTTTCCAATAACATGCATGTGAAATGCACTGCTTCCTTTGCAGGCTTATATGTTTTCCTTAGCTAACCTGCTTCTCAGTCTGCCTCTGCACTCTTGTATGACTGGGTACTCTTTTGTTCCCGTTTCTCCTCTGAATGTTATACGCCTCATCAAGACCAGACTTTGGCTTCTATACTCTCGATCTAAAGCAATCCGCTGATTCAGCTGTTATGAAAAATATGTCTTTTGTCAATCAAAAAATGTCTTTCTGAAGCATGAATTTCAGCGTGATTTATGGAAATACCTAATTCACAGGAATATAGTTGAAAGTTGTGATTTACTTTGGGTGAAATTGAATAAACTGATAAAACAATGCTATTTGCAACCCACATTAGTCTATAGTAACAGAACCAAAATAATTATACATTTTTATACAGTTATACATTTTGCAATTGCATGATTAGTGATTACCCAGTAGGGGCATCTGTGAAAAAATTGGTCATCCAAAACAAAAAAGCCTTATGGACTTCTCATTTGGGAACAAACTGCACATAATTTAGAGTTAAAATAAGCCCTTGTATACAAAGGTTATCGGTTTTCCCCAGTATGTGAACAAAGTAGTTAATAGTTTTTAGTCTAGCATTACCTTGATTTCATATGAGATAGCTCTAAGTGTAGCATATGTAGGATTTTGCTTTTTTGTTAACTCCTTCCCGCCGGTCGCAAGCATATACGTGGCCTCTCAGCAGATGGGCCTTAACGCGGCGAGGGGCCACAAATATGTGTACTCAAAAAAAAAAAAGAACTGTGCCAATAGCATGCACTCCTGGCACAGTTACCCGGGCTACCAGTAGGCTCCCGATTTCTACTTGCGATTGGGAGCTTTCTGGTTATAAAACCACTGTAGCAGCGAATCACAGCGGTCACTTGATCACAAGCCCCGCCTCCTGGCATTTAAACCCCTTAAAGGCTGGAAGACCCTGGCACTAAGGGTTTAAGCAGATGTGACTAGAATTTTTGCAGCCCACAAGACCTCTCAGGGGGGTTGATTTACTTAAGGCATGGGTTCAGGTAGTGTGGGAATAGAATTTTCACCTAGCTTAGTGAATAAGTTGCAGCTATGCTGAGTTTCATTATCCAATCATGTGAAAGCAAACAATATATATATTTTTTTAATTTTCCTTGCACATGTTTGGGTATTCTTTGCAAGGTGAATTTTCACCACATTTACTAGGCTAAGTGAAAATGTCCTTGCAAAGTTAAAATTCCCTTGCAAAAGTGAACAGCCTATTTGCCTTTGGTAAATCAACTCCTTATTATCTCCCCAATACTCATACACACACAAGCAATGACAGACTTTTCAAATGAGCCTTTTGGGTCTACTGTTGTTGCCACCTCTAATGGCAATTCTGATACTAGAGCTGAAATTAGATCTCAGTGAAACCACACTAATTACTTTTGGTTCTGGACATTTAAAATATAATAATATAATTTGAATAAACATCTAAAAGAATCACTACTTTTCTTACAGAAAGGACATATCCTATAAATGGCAAAGCCAAGTCACAGTTTTGATTTCCAGTTCCAGCTCCATAGCAATGCAAGATCTTAATTCTTAGAGACCTTCTTTCCCAGTGAACTTTTCTCTTTTGGATCATCAGTATGCAAGCAGCTAGCATCCATTTTGCAACCACTAAATAACATTTCCTTATCACTGTAATTCTGTGTCTGTGTTTCATGGCTCACTTTGTGTTTTTTTTTTCTTTTCTCTTCGGTCAGTGCTTCTGATCTTACCCATGACTGCGAACTCTCTTCACTCTCCAAGATCACCCTACTCATCACATTCTACTCATCCGCTTGTCCTTTCTGTGCCTGAAATATTCTTATAGATGGCCCATATTTAGCTACCCACTCCTGTAGATTATGTAATGATGTAGAGTTTCCAGGGACACTGGTACCCCTAAAGTCAACATCAAATTTCCATGAAAATTTAAATGGAAAAATAAAACAAAATCTTAATCAAAATATATTTTAAACTTCCCATTTTACTAATAGCTTAATATCAAAATGTTAACTTCATTTCATTTCATGTCTCATTGCAATGTATTTCTGCTCATTTCACGTATTCATTTGATCTTAACGCTCTTCTTTATGTTATTGTTTATGATTTCTTTATATGCGTGGTTTCATAATCCATTCCATTCAGTTGAAGTGTACTGTTTTCCTCAGGTTTCCCAACCATCCAAGTGGAACTGGAAACTCCCACTGGCTTGCGTTATGTGCCTCCCACCCCCCTACACCAAGATGATTTCTTTAGTGATAACTCTAGCATAGAGTCCCCCCTTAGAACTCCTAGTAGACTGAGTGACATGTTAGTAAATCCACAGGGCAATGGAGACATTTTAGCTGCTCCACCCGTGGTGGCTGCAGAGGACACGTCACTAGATGATGGCAGATTTGACTATTTAATTCACAGTCCTGGTGCTTCTTATGAAATGGCCATTCATCGGGTGAAATTTGAAGATGTAAAATTGCACGATGAACCCCTAAGTGAGGGTAGCTACATTGAAGTTGAAAAGGCTGCTCAAAGAGGAGAGGAATCTGAGGAGCATGAGAGAGATGCATCTGGTCCTGAGGAGGAGATGACCGAAGAAAGGCTTAAATTACTATTTAAGCAACTTCATCTTGAAGAGGTGGAGTCAGAGGAGATGACTGAAGAGAAGGTGCAGGCTATCCTCAGGAATGTTCAACAAGCAGAACAAGAACTTTCTTCAATTGCAGGTTGGCACACAGAAACAGTGAGCACCCAGGCAGAACATACAGAGCGGAAAATCAGCAGCGAACTGTTGGAAAGATTGGATGACAGGTATGCAATGTGCCTTGCACCAGAAAAGAATCATTTTATGTAGGCATATGCTGTAGTTCTAAGAGCCATACATCTAGAACTTCATTAAATATTTTTTGTTCAGTGCCACATTTCTAACAGGTTTCAGAGGATAAGACAGTTAAGCAATTAACTTAAATCACCTGTTACCTATCTTGCTCAATATGCTTTTCTTGGCTATTGAATTTTTCATTTCACTAAGAAATGGTCATCTCTACCTTGTGACAATGTACCTTGTGAAGCACTGTTTCTACCCAAACAGCTGGAACCTTGTAATAATAAAATATATTATTTTTGCATACTTTCATAGCAGCCCAATGCTGAGAGGGCCTTCTAGGGTGATTGAGCAGCCAGAATCTCTATTGTAGTCTCTCTTGCGTCATAGTCTTTGCACAAGGTCCATGTTCCAGGAGGGGGTGAGACAACTAGTTGCTAGCTTATGATTGGCTGCCAGTCTGAATCAATCAATAATCAAGTGCAGTAGACTTCCTCCACCCCCCCCCCACACCCTCTCATAGACGGGATTCAGCACTAAACTTTGTAGCTTGATAGGATTATAAAAAGTCAACTGCATTGAAGAGATCTGTCAGTAGTAAGTGGTTTTTAGGGTCCATGCACACTGGGCTTTAAAAAAGCTGCTTCTACATGAGTTTTGCATTTTGCCTGTAGAAGCAGCTTAATGTTATCCTATGTATCCATGCACTTTAGGACACTTAGAGGCATATTTTAAGCCCAGCATTTAGAGACAGAAAAGAGGAGTTTATTGGCAGAACAAAACGCTAAACGTGCCTAAATGCATGTACGAAAATGCTCTATATGAGTTTTTTTTTCTGCCAAGGGAACTGGCAGAGTTCATGGACCCTTAATGATATTAAACTGGTCATACAGTCGATGAGGATCAGTGGCAGAAGCTTGGGGTTGACTAATTGTATTTGCAAAAGACAACACAATCCTAACTGATAGCAACCAAGCAGATTTAGACCTGCAAGACCTGGAAAGTAAAGCCTAGCACACACGATCAGAAAATCATGTGAAAAATACTGTTTTCAAAGCAATCGTTTGATAATCTGACTGTTAGTACACAGCTTTCGTCTGAAATTATTCAAAAGGACAAGCACAAAAAGTTTTCTCATATGATACCAGATCGGTTAATTTTCCTTTAATTAGTACAGGTTTCATCTGGAAATACAATACAAATACATTAATCAATGATTTATAAAAGCAGCGCAAAAAAAAAAAAATGATTATATATAAAAAACACTAGCAGAGTGAAAATATTTAAATCATTTGACATAAGTCTATCAACTGAAAAATGAAAATTGTGATGAAGTGCATGGTCCTTATTGATCCACCCGAAATCACCACGTGAACAACATAACAATTGATTGAGTAAAGTGCACTCAGATATCACCACGTGCTGCAGAAGAAAACCTCCCCCAGTTCAGTGGCACTCATCAGATGTTGTGGCCCATCAAAACCTGATAGCGCTTCTGGTGAGTGTCAGCGTAGTACAGATCATCAATCAGCAAGCCCTTCATCAATTAGAGACTGATATGATGGCGGAACATCCTCCAAACTATTACACTCTGTAATGAAGGAAAGATGTAAAAGGAAACTCATAACGTGAATCCATTAAAAACTATTTATTGGGTAGAAAGTATTGCACTCATATGAAATAAATGAAAGCATGCCAAAATATCCACAATAACCATTAAGGGTATCTGTATATCACATGAAGCGAGCCGTACGACGTATTCTGTAATGAGGCATCCACCTTACATCCCCTGCCGGAGATGACATATCGCTCACGTGCAGCGAGGAGGATCGGGTGAGACGCTCACTTCTCATAAGCACCATTGCCTATCAGGTTTGGATGGGCCACGATATCTGGTGAGTGCTACTGAATTGGGGGAGATTTTCCTGTGGAGCACGCGGTGATATCTGAGTGCACTTTACTCAATCAATTATCGTCATGTTGTTCACGTGGTGACTTTGCACTTCACCACAATTTTCATTTTTCAGTTGATGAAATTATGTCAAATGATTTAAATATTTGTGTACATTTACAGTGTTATACTTTGTGTCATATTTTCACTCTGCTAGTGTTTTTTATATATAATATTTTTTTTTGCACTGCTTTTATTCATCATTGGTTCATGAGGTGACTATTGCATTATTCACTATTAGGGCAGCTGCATGCTTACACATTCTATGCACTCATTTATTAACTTAGGTGAGTTATTTATTATGTATTTTTTAAGGTGTTAGATGTTTTTTTTATATATATTTTTACATCTCATTTACGCAGTGAATATACGGTTTAAATACAAATGCATTACAATACAACACCACTTACAAATTTTTATTCTGTCGTACAAGAATATTCTCAATCTCTTAATTTTCAATATGAGACTAACATGCAAAAAAATGGACGATCATTCGCCTGATATTCTCATCATGTGTATGGGGCTTAAAAGTTGAAAAATAAATCCTTTTCATTACTTTAAGTGGTCTGAATAACTGGTTTTATAAAGTACACCAAAAAGATGTTAGTTTGCATGTGGGTCTGATAGCTCAGAAGGGCAATTCCGAATGTATCATTTTGGATGGGAAGATTTACTTTTTCTTTTTTTTTTGTCCCTGCATTGCCAAATGACTATAATTTTGTTCTTCATGTTGTAGCCATGAGACAATTACCTCATACCTCAAAGGAGAAGTAGGAAGGCTGGAATCTACTGTCAGTCCTTCTGAGTCACTAACAGAAGGTAAGACCAGTTCCAGCACGCTGGAGACGAACCCAGTGAAAGCAAATGACAAACAGAAACCAAAATCACTCCAAGGAACAAATGGAAGAGGAGAGCAGAAGGTGGTAATAGGAGAGCATAGGAGCTCATTACCTGTTAGTGCTAAAAGGACTGGCTTGGAAGAAGGCAGATCTAGGCCCCACACCCATGCAGACGAGGGAGCATCTGCAGAAAAGGTACAGTTATGACAGAATGTTTGAGATTGCTAATATTTATACACACGAGAAATATTTTAATCTGTATTTGTCAAAATTGAATGAGTTGGCAGCTTTATCTGCTTGGGGAACTCATATTTACATCTTGCTATGACTGGATTAAAGTTACAAAGGAACATCAACTTGAATGAAAGAACAATCCCACCCAACAGTAACCAGTTTCATGTTGTGAATTTATTTAATAAAGCCCATATCATGTTGGTAACTACCCAAACAGTTCCTGAGAAGAGCTCAATGCACTGCATATCATTAGCTGAAATTTATCCCACATGTTGGTTCAAAAAGAATGTGATGGACATAGATTCCAAATAAGCAATGTTACTGGGATGGGCAGGGCCGACCCCTGAGAACATACATTTAGCAGTCTTTAAGGTCAATAAAATGTATTCTTGTCTCAGCTGGAAACACATACCTAGCAGCAAAGCTTCAAAACTACAGGTATTGTTAGAAATTGCCAATTGGTGATGTTTGGTGTTTATATAATACTACAAAACTCTACAACTACCTATAGACATAAAAAAATAGTGTAAAAGAAGTAAGTGGTTTTTGAGGGTCATTCATGGAAAAGATGACTGTACACATTACAATCTGATTGCACATCTTTAGCTCTACAAACAACTAGGTAGTGCAAAGACCTGCCAGGTTGTTTACAAATTGAATAGATTGTTTTGGTAAGTTATTGTGTTATCTGTACAGCCTAGTTCTCACTAGTGTGATTTCAGATGAGACTTGAGTTGCACAGAATCGAATGACAAGGGAAATTACATTGTTTTCAATGGTGCCTTTCACATCAATGCAACTCAGCATGTAGCAATTTTGGAAAAGGTTCCCGTACTACTTTGGTGTGATTCTAGTGTGATTTTGGTCCCATAGAATATACAAACCTCATCAAAGTAGCACTACATAATCACACTGTAAGTCAAATCAAAATCGTATCATAGCAGTGTGAACCTAGCCTAAAGGAGACTGTACAGAGCAGGGGCGGACTGACAACTCATGGGGCCCCTGTGTCCTTGCCCAAACTCAAAAAAGCCTATGAAAAAGGTACCAGGGGCATCTCATGGGTTCCCCCTACTGACCCAGGGTGCTCGGGCAGTGCTCGAGTTTCCAAATGGTCAGTCCGCCCCTGGTACAGAGATAGTATAACCAGATTGTAATCTGTATGGCTAGCTTTCAAAAGCATGAGAAAAATGAATAATCAAATGAACAGTTGTTTTGCATATCCATGTTTCCAATTTTTTACATAGAGGCATCAGTTTAAAGTTATCATTATTTGTTAAACCTGCCCTCCTGAAACTTTTCCAAGCAGTGAATCACTGTAAATATTTCTTTGGTATCTGCTCACCTGAGTCAGTTTAAGCACAGTCAAAACACAGTCTTAAGCCCTGATGGAAAGGGAGTATATTTGGCCTCTGAAATGTGTTGGATGTATTTTGCTATTAATTAATTTTATCATGAAATTACATTGTACACTTGGGCATTTTTCCATTCTCATTGGATTGTATTAATGTGGATTCTCAGCTCTGGGTGCTTTTCCTGTCCCTGTTGGATGTCCCTATTTTATGGAGTGCTGCCAAACCAGAGTCAGTGTGCCCAGTGACCATTTCTGTGACCCTTAGAAAATCTGAATCCAGCTCCCCTTTTGTTCCTTTGTTTCTTTCTTCACAGAAGCACACAGTATGTGGAAGGGGAAGTCACCAGGCACTTCCCAAAAGTGAGCGACCAGTGAGTGACCAATTGCCAGGTCTAAACACTGTTGGATAGGGGACATGTGCCCAAGTATAAACACTGGTTTTTAGGAAGTTAGCATTTGCATAGGTAATTCTACATGCTGTGGTGGTAATTTGAACCTGAAATTAAACAATAATATCTGGTCACATGGTATCTATTATCTCAAGAAGGGGAGCTTAGTTTAGTAAGTTTTCTTAAACTGCGGGGTTTAATTAATTCATTAATTACCATTAGGTCCTTTTGAGAGAAATGTTTGTTTGAACACCATTAAACTTGCTACACGATATAAAGAACAACCGTATATGAATTCATAATATAAAGGTTTACTGCAGACATTAGGCCATTTCTTAAAACCTGTTGCCAAGGTAGCTGCAGCAGCCAGAAACAAGATTATGGCAAGTTTGAACTGTGTGGGCTTACCTGGTCCAGTTACATTATTTGTGAAATGCTTTTCCTCCTTCTAGTTCACAGAAATTTAGGACATCTTACATGGATCACATATTTGACATTTTATTTCAGCAACAGATAATTAATTTCTGTGTATAAACAGCCAAAACAAAAATGTCATGTTTAAGTTTTCTTCCAGTAAAGGCTGTTCACTTTTGATTTTGCAAGTCAGCAAACCATACAGTTTGACCAGGAGTGATCTGACCTATGTATATCATTTATTAGTATGAATAGAATTATAAAGTCAATTGCTTCAAATATAAACCTGCAATTTTCTTAATTGACTTCTCTCGGTATTAAAGATTTTTAAATATTTTTTCATTTAACCAGGTAAATATGAATTATTACATTTGAAATGTTTACATTTACTACCAATAGCCAAACCTGGCTTCTCCTTTTTAAATTGCTGTTTGCCTGGCTTTAATGCTGATCCAGCAACTTCAGTATTTGAGTCAATGACCCTTAGCAATTATGCAGTTTAGCCATTCTGGCTTAACTTGCTACATGCTTGTTCCAGAGCTCAGAACAAATAAAAAGCAAACGTAGCCATGCAGCTAGCCTTTTCAGAAGGATCAATGCCAGCCTACATATTCTTTCTACACAAGTAGTGTCATAGAATGGACATACTTTGCTCCACTATGCTAGCAGAGGCTGTAATGCTTTAAATGAGATTTAAACAATTTTTAACAATGTTCATGTGTAGCATATTACTTTAAATACAAGGTAAAAGCCAGCTTTAAAGCTTTTGTTCCAGTCTGCAGCATAATGGCGGTTTTCACAGGAGCCTTTTGTTCCACCTTGACATGCAGACAGCCACAGAACTACACTTCCCATGAGTGCTGGTGTTAGAGAGATGATCAGAGGGATACCGTGCCTTTGTAGCTAACATCAGTACATGGCTCTGTAGTCTAGCTGTGGACTTTACATTCAGGACTGACAATGCTGCTTACGCTTTCAGCCCATGCAATGAAGTTAGGTACAGCTGCATTGGAATACCAGGTATCTTTTAATACTAGTAGCAGGGACAAAAACTCTGCCTTTTCGACCACACTTACTGTATCCTATTGGACTAATCAAGTCTTCTAGAAAGCATACAGCCAACGCTCAGTGCCATGACTGCACCCTGTAGCATTTATTTCAGTGATAAAGATTTTATACAGGTATTTGAAAAAATACATATGGAGTATATGGGTATATACAGAATAGCAGAATTGAAGCAAAGCAGATGCCATGAATGAACCCCTGTTGTCTATTTCTACTTATTCCACTGCTATGTTTCTGTTCTAAGCTGACAACTTCCTAGACAAGCTTTATCCACAGCTCTTACAGCACATTTTACACAGCAAATCTAGACCTAGACCATCCATTCTCAACCAGGATTTTGTGGAACCCTCAAGTTCCTCCAGAGGTAGCTAGTGGTTCCTTGAGCTGTGGCTAACTGACTTCCCATCTGATGGTGCCTGCATAGACCAGGAGCCAAAGCCAGCAGCATGACCCCAATGATCTTTTTACCTGCCTGTAAGGGTTGCATACTTTCTACTTGCCACCAATGTAAGAGACATTTTTCCATTGACCCATACTCTGAGTGACCACCTTTTCCATGGCAATGGAAAGTTTCCTGGTCATTTTTGGGAGAAAGGTTGTGTGGCTCTCAATCTTCACTATGAGTGGGGCCTCATAGTGAAGATTGTTGGATCAGGATTAAAGTGGTTGAAAACCCTTACATAGATCCAGTAAAGCAACTAGCCTCAGTATTTTTGTACAAGCAGGGGGGCGGGGCCATCCCCCTAGATTCTGAGGTTTTGGCTTTACCAATTGACTCATGCAGATACCGTAGCAGAGGGAAGAGAGAACAGATAGGAACTATGCCAGTTGCTTTGGCTTGAGGCATGTGCACACTATAGAGGGATATGCGTTGTTCATTTTCCATTTCAGAGGTTTACAATCACTTAACATTTTTCACCAAATGGGCAGCACTTCGGAGTGTAGGAGTTACTAGAGGACAACTGTAGAAAGGTACAGCTGTCTTTCAAAGTAAATCTGTCACAAACCTGAGCAACTGATTTTGAGCTACTATAATTTATCTTAGATTAAAACTTTATATAAACACAATCAGGAGATCCAGAGATAAAGGCAACTACATTTCCAAATCATTGGTTTTCTTATGCTTGACACCACCCCTTCCTGCCTCCATATTAGTAGGTTAGGCAGCCTATCACATTAGAGGACAGAAATTTGTATATATTCATTTGCCTATACCTCTCAATCTACTGATCATTCTGATCTAAAGATTTAACTGAAAGAAACATCTGCTTAAACATGTCATTATATGCCCAACTTTTTTAACATGTTAATTTAAAAGCCTCCATCTATCCTGACAAAATGTGTTGGAACACTGGATATTAACCCAAGTTCCTGATATCTTCTATCTCTCTGAGGCTTTCTTGCCAAGATCTCTTGCCAGAACCTCTGGCGTGCCCAGAAAGACCCCTTTGGTTGACCGAGGCAGCCATAAAAAATATTCTATTCCCTTTTATGAATGAACACAGTAGTAATACATTTGCAAGATCAAATCTACTTATAAGTACATTTGCTGTAACTGGGTCATGCTGGAGGATTTGATACCACTGCTGTAATGGTGCAGCTCTTCATAGGCAGGTGAGATTGATGGCAGGGGGAAGTTTCTGGGGGCTCCTAAGAATGTGCGAGCCCCGTGGACTTTTATAGACCCCCCTCCACCAAGTGCTGACCATGTATAGATGACACAGTAGAGCTTCAGGAAAAACCTGACTTTTTGAGTTTATACAGGAAACCAAAAAGTGTTTAAATATAACTGTGCAGGCTTGCTTTTTTATCCCCCTGGGATGGGAGACTGTGTGATATGGGCAGGCAGATGACAGGCCATGTTTGTCAAGCTTCAGGTGACCTCTTGTCTCAGCACCTACCATTTCTTTTTAGCTAGTAAGAAAAACAATCCATAGTTAGGGTGCTGGTGATGTTAAGCACATACAGTATCTTAGGATCTTCTATGAAACATCAAAGTAACCACGTCCTTCCTGTGTCATAGATAAAAATATTTCTTTTTCCTTTAAGTCTGCTGGTAAAACATGCCTAAAATGCATTTATCAGGATTCTAGTGACAGTGAATGTGAGAGTGAGTCAAGCTCAGATGAGGAACGAAGGATCACTACGACGAAATTACTCGACGGAGATTGATATATAAGGTACCAAGTATGTCTGACTACCAGTGCAGATCCCAGCATGGATTTTTGTTTTTGCCTTGGACGTTTGCTTTTTTCCTAAAATACCGTATAATATGTATTTATATATGTAAATACATAAGTTTTCTATATTTAAATAACTTCAGAAGTAGACATTTATAAGCTACTTTAAACAATGTAAACAGCCATGGTGCTTTGTAACCCAAAGTACGCAATCCGATACCAGCTTTCAGCTACTGCCAGGTCATAGATCACTGAAAGCGGATATGAGACTGGTTGCTTTAGGCTATCACACTAGGGCTGTTTGCATGTTCCCTAGTAAGTCTGCACTAAGCCATTGAATAATGTAATGGCTTGAGGATATGCTTTCCCACCTCCCAAAGCAGTGTTATTTTGCTTTGTGCTGACTTTGAAGGTAATAGCCTTTTTAGTGAAGACACATGATCATTTAATATATATGTGAATCTGCATTTTCAGTTCTTGCTTAGTACACAAAATCAGTCTATCGCAAATGACAGGCAAAGGAAATGCTTTTAGTCTACCATTTGTGTCAATGAGAATGCTGATAACATAACTAGCACGTTCACGTAGCATGGCTAAGCTTAACTGACCCCTTAATGTTTTTCAGCAGTTATATATATGATTATGGCCAACATTCAGAGTTACCTGATGAGTGGCACTTATCCTTGTCTTGTTTTAGTCCACTAGTGTTTGCTGTGAATACCATGCAGACCAATAACCTCTTTATACAGATACTCTGTATGCTTGTATCACTTCCTTTTATCTATTCAGTTTTTGTAACAAGGGTATTTTATCTCCTATGGTTTCAGGTTTATAAGCCATAATCTAGTGTTGTGTACGTAAAAGAAAAAAGGAACGAGTTCAATCAAAATGTCTATTATAATACTAATCTGCAAACTGTTGGTTCTGTTTATAAACTTTTATTTCACCTAAATCCATTTGTCATATTTCATGAAAATAGTAGAGAATTAGTGGAAGAAACTGTCACTGGGTTCCTCTTACATTTTCAGTTTACAGCTGTTTAAAAACAGCACCTGAAAGCAATCAGATTTAGTGTAATTGCAGCAAATGGCTATTTTTATCTGAAATATACTGATAGGAAGAATGACAGTCAGCAAACATGAAGGGTCTATAACCCTCCCTTACTCTATCCAAAATGAAAAAAAAAACGTTTTGACTTTAGTTTTGACTACTCTAAAATTCTCCACATTGCTGTTTAACAAACCAAATTTCAGGGGCGACTAGCAGTACAGGCTCATCAGTTTCCTTTGTAGATTCACAGGTGACATAAATATTTGCATTTCAAGAGCTTGTTCAGACTAAGTCCATTCCATTTCAGACACCTCACAGTCAGTTTGGCCAGGCTTTAATTTGAAGGTGCATACTGTTTCCTAGCCTTGTCAATGGTCCAGCACAGGCAGTATGCTGCCACTTAAAAAACATGCTGCATATTCAATTAGGCATTCACATGGGGACAGGATTGAAATAATTGCAGTTGTGTGTCTACCTGAATGGTGGAAAGACTGCACTTTTACATGTTTGTTTCCCTATATATGGAAAACCATGTGGCTATGCATAAGAAATAAATAAAATGCTGTATTTCCTTGTTTTGTCACCTCCATGTTGGTGGAAGGATACTGTTAACTGTGTATTTTTTTTCCTCTTGGTACAGACACTGGAGATAATTTACTGCAGTGCAGATCTGCATCACTTATTTCTTAATTACTACTTTGTAGTTTGATTATATGTTAAACAGCACAAAGTATATCATAAAAACATGTTGGGTTTTTTTTGAGTAAGAGATGTAACAATATGGAGTGACAACTTACCATTTAGAGGTCAATGTTGCATATAAAAAATGCTATGTACAGAGACTGGAGGAACAAAGACCACACACACACAGCCAATTGAGCAAAAATGTCCATAGTGATTCGTATCTGCAAGGAGATTGTTTTCTAAGAGAAGAAAAAGATTTATTATTACAGTAGGTGGTATGGATCCGCAGCAAAATATGTATCTGAATTTAGCAGTTCTTCTGTAATCACACAGGATATTCATAAAAATCATGCTTTCAATGGACAATGGAAGAATATCCCATCTGAAACAAGCGAAAAAGTTGTGGTCTGAAACATTGTTTAAGGCACCCGTGTAGGTGCAAATTACTGTCAGAAAAGGCTTCTTGCCGATAATGAAAACTTGAATAGGTTTCCACTGTTATTCCATCTAATAATTATATGCTTTTGATACTTATTAGAATGGAATAGAAGATGCAGTGATTTGCAATAGGTTTGTGTGCACTTTGTTGTAGACTGAGCATTCCCTTTTCTGAGCAGTAGGGGTACTGGGTGTCCCCCTCCTCTACCTTTAGGTGTATAAACATCGTAAAACAAACCTATTGCACTGTTTAGATGAGCCATTCTCAACTAGGGTTCCTCCATAGGTTGTGAGGGGCTCCTTGAACTGATTGACCTCCCATTTAATGGTTATTGACCCAACATTTGATGGTGCCTGCACAGTTCTGGGGCCAACACCACATGGCAGAGTTCGCTGCATGACACCAGTGAAGTTATTAGCTGTTTGTAAGGGTGGCATTCTGGCCACCACTTTACACACTGATATCAGCACTTACAAGCAAGCATCAAAAGGTACTTGTACTCTTATTTATCCCTAGATCACTCCCAGGTTCCACTGGCAGATGATGCACCAGATATGGAGATTGTGGGGCTCACCAGAGGTCCAACGTTGGCACCTTCTATGTGTGCTTGGGTTCATAAGATCAAGGGTCATGCAGATAAAGATTTGGCGGGTGGGGGGGACAAGCAGGAAACGACATTTTTGTAAGCTCTGTCAGGAATAAAAGAATTGTGTAATTATGCTATAACAGTGAGCACTCCCAGAGATATGTACAATTTTCACTTGTACATGTACGATATATTGTTATAGCGATATATATCCATTTTTTTAAATTGGCTGTGCTGCCAGTTTAACCCTTTCTTGCCTTGGCATGCTGCCCTACAGCGTGTTTATTTTCCTATCCTGCATGCCCGGCGTGCCATGTATAGGTCTTAAAATGAACAATTGATGTAATGCTCTGACGCTCTTTAGGGGGATGAAGTAAAAAACATTCCTGGTGAATCTGTTACGGAAGAACAGTATACAGATGAAGAAGGCAACATCATCACAAAAAAAGTAAATGATCTTTATTTTCTGCTGCTGTGATTTCCCAAAATCCTGTGTGTCCATTGGTATATTCCCATGCTTGACAACTGATGCAGTGCAGTGTTTTCGTGTATCTTTCACGAAGTCCATATAGGAAACATAGTGAATATTCCTGCTTCTCACAGGTGACACGGAAAGTCGTGAGACGGGTTATGGTTCCACAAGAGAAAAAAGTTGGTGGAACTGTAACAGTTGGGGCAAGTAATTTACCTTGTTGTGGTGGTGTATGCTGTGTGCCTTACTATTTTAGTTTTTTTTTTATTACAGTTTTGTGTGTATCGGGTTTGTTTTAACTGAGTCCTCGTTGCTTGAGGTGTTTACTACAGTGGTGTACTTCTTTGTAGTGCATGACTGGATGCAATGAGCAAAGGCCAAAAGAGTTCTCATTACCACATCATTTGACTAAACTACTAGTTCCCTTCTACCTTTAGCTTAATTTTAATACACATTGATTGATTGATTTACTGGAGATGTGGAACGTGTTCACTTTGAAAGTGAATGTGATGAAGCTAAGTGAAAATTCACTTTGCAAAGAATACCCAATTGTTCAAGGAAAATAAAAACAAAAAACGGCAGGATATTTGTTAGCACATGATTGGAATTGTTCAAGTAAAGACAGCTTTACCAAACTAAGTGAATTTTCACTTCGCAAAATGAACATGCTTTGCTGCTTTTGAAAATCAATCCCAATGTGCTATAATGGGTAATAATAGTATAGTATGGTGTATTCTCATTGCGGAGCACTATGAGATGCTTTATGAATTGAATGGTGTCAGTGGTCCATTGTGGGTACTGGGTAAGTATTGGAAGCAAAAGTATAAGTAGGTGTTAAAGGGAAGTCAAGGCAACCTTTTTTTACTCTGTAGCAATTCCTACCACTAATCTGTGGGCCTTAGCTTTTCCATTATTGTTCTGCAGCCATCTTTGTAATATATGAAACAATAAATCTCAGTCTGGATCTGAGTGACAGCACCATGAGTTTGAAGTCCCACCAGTGCACACTGGACATGGGGCCATCTAGAAACATTAGCATCTCTCCTTCTGATCATAAAGGCTAACCAACAGCACAGTACTTCTCTATGTCATGTCTGCAGAAATTTCCTCACCATATAATTACATTATATTTTACCAACTAGATCTATTCTCAACCCAGGTTCTGTTGTACCCTATGGTTACTTCAGAGACTGCTAGAGCTTCTTTGAGCTGTAGCTGATTGACCTCCCAATTGAAGGTACCTGCATAGTTCCAGGGCCAATGCACCTGTCAACCCCAGCAGCATGATGCCAATGATGGTTTTAGCAGGCTGTGAGTGTAGCATTCTGACCACCACTGTAAGGGTTGCATTCTTTCTTTTGACCACAAATGTAAGCGACATTTTTCCAATTGACTTCTGATAAATTGGTTTTAGTAAAGGTACCCCAAAACCTGGAAATTATTTGGGGTGTTTATTTGGAGTAAAAAGTTGTGAAAGGTTGAACTAGAACCTTTGCCATACCTCCACCTAGAGTGCAATTTTTGAAATAGGAAATAGGACAGCAGAATCATCTGATCTAATTTTAGAAATTAAATGTAAAGGGCTTTTAAAGCCCTATAGGGTTAGTGAGGGTGGTGGGGCCTTACTGAAATATGTTTTTATGCTGTTGCCTTGGCTTCTTCTTTAAAACTAGAATTTACATATTAAAAGAGGCTATATTTATCCAACCCCCCTTTGAACCTCTTGATAAAAAAGATAAAAAGTGCCGCATCCTACAAAATGCAGGGTTATATGCTGTCATTCACTGCGTTGGAGACACTTCCCCCTTGTAGATGTGGATGACAGGGCTACAGATAAAAGTATCAAAGGGACCCCTGCTGTTTAAATCATTTTATATCTTCATACTCAAAAACTATACATGACAAAACTGTATCAGATAAATCATTCTGAAAAGAGCAACGCAAGAGATTGTTGTGGTATATGTAGGTGGATTTGCTTTCTGGCATAACTCTGCCCAGGACCATCCAGTAGTATTGTATACTGTAGTGCCATACATTGTGTTATGCTGTGTTGTGGTTTATCTCTGTTTTTCTCTTTTATTGTTATTCTACAAACCTGCACAAACTGGTCAGGATGTAATTTGACCATGTCAGCTGTTTGTGTCACCATCCTATGTCTAGAGTATTATTGCAGGTTTTTTAAAATCGTAAAAAAAGCGGAATTCCAGTCAAACTGCTAAACACAAAGCTGAAATACATATATTTGAACCGTTTAACCTGCAGAGAAAAAAATTCTGTTTGGCCACTCTTGCAGTTCACACAATGACATAACAACACATGCATCCCCGAAAATCACACTTGACGGCGAATAAGCATCAGCACACTCGTGCTTTACCCCTCTCCTAAACTTCCCCCAGCCCCTAAATAACCCAGTACACTATAAATTCTAATGCACTGTGCAATGGAATGGTACCTAACTGGCTCACAGTGCAGAATCTCACACTTTTTTTTTTTTTTTTTTGGTGTGCTGGGGGGAAATAAATATAAATATTTTTTCGGGTAATTATTTCAGTAATATTTAAAAACCTGTAATAATTTCTGAGTTAATCCATAGTTGGACAAAAACATTTTTATATTTGCCTAGAGTTCTGTATTAAATGTTGCAGGAATGACCTCTGTTACTTTATGTATAATAATTGTTTTCATTGCAGAGTGAAGCCTATAAAGTGAAAACCAAGAAGGAAGTCCGACATGTTGAGAAGAAAAGTTTTTCATAATACCACAGTGCTTAAGGTTAGTTTTGTATAAACGTTGTTATCAGGTTATACACACTGATGGTCCTGATTGTCATCCTGCGAATGTGGGTGTTACTTGGGGAAGGCTTATGGTAGATCAGAGACCTAGCCCAGTTTCATCATATTTGCACTGATGAGTTACTTTTTTCAGCAAAAGGAAAACTGAAGTGTGAAAACAGAGATTGTCTCATTTAAAGGAAACTTGTACTTGAGAACCTATTCAGACTGCCACAGATGAAAAAGGCTGATTGCCTGGTTATTCTGCTAAGGAATTTAATAATCTGAATCACTGACCTGAAAAAAAGTACGCTGATTAAGATTTCTGACTTTAACTACCTTCATACTTGTCCTGGGTCAATAACTCTGAGGCCCCTTTCACAATGGCGGTCCAAAAGGGTCCACCTGTCAGTTTTCAGGTGAACTTGATCGAGCCATCCGTAGCTCTTTATGGAGTGGCAGGTGTCAGCGGACATGTGTCCACTGACACCCGCCGGCATCCAGTCAGATCCTGTATGCTAAAAACATTTGGATAGGGATCTGTTTGCCATTCACCTGGTGGGTCAGATGACAGTCAGAGGGATAATGGACAGGCAGTCTGTTTCCATCCAACCGCCCCTTAGAGAACAGTGGGCCATGTCTATATCCATTCTGCCTAGTGGAGCGGACACAGATCTTTCATCCGCCTGCTCAGCTTGAGTCAGCAGAGACATCCCCTGCTGAGCAGGCAGATCCACTTGATGGAGTCTGCCCTGTCTGAAAGGGGCCTGAGAACTGACACCAGAGATGGCCAGACAACTAGCATGTTCAAAAGGAGGTTCACAATGGCAGTGATTTTATTTCTCTCAGTTCAGTTTTTCTTTTTAACAGGGAGCAGAAAAAAAACATTTTTCCTCTTTCATTCTAGGGAGGACACAGTTCTGCTTTAGATTATCTCTTAATGGGTATATCACCGCCTGCAGGAGTTAGTGCTGATCTAAATCAAAGCTGTGTCCTCCGCGAATTGTAGAGAAATGGGTTTTACAATGAGTACAAAAAATCCTGTTTTTTTTTTTTCTGAAAAACTGACCTAAAATAGATATACAGATTGGGAACGTTTGAGAAACGTAAAAAAAATCTGCTTTGTATACTTGTTGCAGATCACTGACTCAAAGGGGGAGATTTACTAAAATTGGAGTGTGCTTCATTGAAAAAGCTGAAGTTAGAAGCTGATTGGCTACCATGCATAGCTGAACCAAATCCTGAGTGCTCCAGTTTAATAACTCTTCCCCAAAGTGTTAAAGCCAGAGAATCAGTATGACGGCAGGCAGGTTTCTTTAAGGGCCCATTTACACCCCTGCATATATTAAATGGAAACTAAACTCATAAATTTAATGGATTAAAAACTGGTAAATTCCCAGCAAGTTAGGAATGCTGTCACATTTGCTTGTGCTCTTAACCAAACTATCAAACCATCAAATGGCTGGTGTCATAGTGTAACTGATCACGTGTTGCACCATAGCAGTTGCAGATCAAACAGAGGTCAAGATGGCAGCTTCCTTGACTAAAAAGGATAGGAGGGTTTTGTTCCACTTTACTCGCCTTTATTTTGCTTAAGTTGGTAGTTTCATGAAGATTAACTGGGTGATTTATTTGTACACTTATGAAGTATGACAAAGGTTCACTATACCATTAAGAAGTTTTAGGATAGCTATTAGGACAGTAAAGAAAAAAAAATGCACACATATCTCTCTCTCTCTTTATATATATATATATAATATATATATAAAATATCTTTCTTTCTTTCAATATCAGCACACTTTATTGTGATTAACCTTTGACACTTTGTTATATTTTTTGGAGGATCATAATTGATTAACTACACACTTTTCATTGTATATTGTGAATTTAATGTTAATTTGGAACTTATATGTATCAGGTTTTCTGTATTGTTTCATAGTGGTGTGCTATATGAAAGATGACACCCTTAGAGTGGTTCTAAAGGCTTAAGGTATACAATGCATGAAAGTAAAAAACCTTCAGTGCAGTGACACCCCGCCTCCCCCCACTCATTTGAATACTAACCTGAGGCCGATCTCGGTCCAGCGATGTGCACAGGAGACTTGGCTTTCCTGGGTCTCTCCCTCCTCATTGGCTGAGACACAGTGCCATTGGCTCTCACTACTGTAAATCACAACCTGTGAGGAGGGAGCGGGGGTGGGGTCAAGTCCTGGTGTCCTGTGCCTTATGGACACAGAGTGGGACTCAATGACGAGCAAGTACTAATGCCCCCATAGCAAGCAGCTTGCTATGGGGTCATTGCTCAGGGAAGAGGAGCCAGAATCACCGGCAGGGGACCCAAGAAGGGGAGGATTGGGCTACTCTGTGAAAAGCAACTGCACTGAGCAGGTAAGTATAACATATTTTTTTTTTTTTTTTTTTAAAAACAAGACTTTAGTATCACTTGAACTTCATATTTGTGGTCTTTTTGGAGTAAATAAGCACGACACCTCAGGGTCACCAGTTATTAGTTGGTAGTTGTTTTTTTC